TTTTGCTATGTTCACTACAAGAACAGCCTCATTACTTTATAGCCATACTTTTTAAAAGGAGTTTCACTAGGGCTTAGGTAATTCTCACTTAATATTTTTTCTATACTGCCTACTTTGTGGGTTAAGGAATCCAGTGTCTTTGGTGTCTATCAATTTTATTGCCATTTCTAGCCCAGATTACCTCTCAGGTAGCAGGAATGAATCATAATGTTTGATTATGATTTACCAACATTAATATTTGATCACCTTTAATGAGGGCAATTAAATTTGCCATTGGAAAACCCACATGGGTTTCCCTTTTCTTGACACTGGTATGGACATCTGAGGGCCTGTGGTCTCCCAAATACCTAACCCGGGACCACCCACTAACACCATAGCTCCAGCCACATTTAGCAGGAGACCGTTTACAGGAATCAAGTTCATTCGCCTAGACCAAGCCCAGGCACATCAACAGGAACATGACGTGGGTATAGAAGCAAGGGGGCATAGAAAGGGAAATCACATCTGTTGAAGAATGGCCATATGCCAGGATCTTTACATCTCTTATTTCATTAAGGATCAAATCAATCCTGGGAAGTAGGAATTATCTCAACTTCATATATGTATAGAGAAAAGGAAATTTAAGAGAAGTTGAACAACTTATCTAAAGTCTACATATTAATATTTTAAAGTCTACATATTAATAAGTGGAAGAATTAGGATTTAAATATCCTTTCCTGATTCCAAAGCCCAAGCTTTTTGCAGTGAGGTTAGTGAGCTGTTTCCAGCGATGGGGCCTTGGAGGGGGGTGAGCCGCCTAGGGAAACATCAGTTCCAGTGCCACCTACTAGCGGTGGAAGGCATTAACCTGCTAAATCCTAATTTCCCCCCACCTAATAAATACTTGAGTGATAAACCCTTTTATGTTTGAAACACTGTACTATGTCTCCATGTTACAAAGATGGGCAAATTCAGACTTGTGTCCTCTAGGGGCTTACAGTTCAGTGAGAGACAAGCCCATAATGATATTATTTCTGTAATATACAGTAAATGCTAAGGTAGACATATAAAATGAGAGCACAAACTCAGGGTTCATTGGTAATGTTTTCTTGTCTGAGTTCCCCACTCAACTTCAAGGTCTGTGATCACGAAGACTATGTCCATCTTTTCTGCCCGTGCTTATAGAGGGCCTAGCACATAGTAGGTGTTCAATAAGTAGGCAAGGTAGGAATGAATCAGGTGTTGCCTGAGCTAAGACGTGAAAGATGAGAAACAGCTACCCAAGCAATGAAAGGACGAAAGGGTGTTTCAGGGAGAAGAACACAAGAGGAGAGGAGAGCGAGGGGTGCACACGTTTACTTTTGTCAAAGCACAAAGTGTAAGGTGAGAGGTGGAGAGGAGAGGAGGCTGGAGAAAAAAGAGAGGCCTCTCTGTGAAGGGCCTCGAGCCGAGGACCCATCATGGGTTCTGGGGATTTGAGGGACGCCCTGAAATTGTCACCAAAATTTGTGAGCTTGTGTGTAAACGTGAATGTGTACTTATGTACTTTTCTGAGGAAAGGGGTGTGTCACTTTCATCAAATTCTCAAAAGTTACAAAATCATGCAAACGATGAGGAGCCGTTAGAGCTATCAGAACAACATTTTAGATGGATGAATCTAGATGCTGCTGTAGAGGATGGAATTTGGGGTAGCAAGATAGTGGTGGAGAAACCAGGGAAGAGAGAGCTGCCAGTGTCCAGGAAAGAAATAATAAGTTTCTAGCCCTAACCCGTGGTGTTGAGGAGGAGTAGACAGGGCCAGATCCGAGAAGAGGTGAGGTTGGTGAGTAGTGCCAGTGAATGAGGACCGAGAAGAGGTGAGGTTGGTGAGTAGTGCCAGTGAATGAGGAGAGGACAACAGCTTGAAGGGGAGAATAAGGAGCTCAGTTTGAACCGTGGACTTGGAGGCATCAGTAAGACCTGCCGGACAGTGGTACGACCCTGACTGCAACGCTGCGGCCTGAGGAGAGATCTAGGCGAGAGATAAAGAGGTCAGTCCTCAGAGCAGCTGCTGAGGATAGTTCTGAATTCCACTTCAGAACTATCTGGAATGTGACACCTCCCCAGCGCCAGTCCACGTCCTGGGAGGGTGGAGAGCAGCCTGGAGCTGAGGGGGCCGCAACACGGGGTGCAGGGTGCCCCCCTTGCCTCCATGGGACTTCTCATCTGAAGAAGACAAGTCTCTTGATCTCTGCACATTCCCCTCTCCCCAAAATGGCCTCTTCGGGATTTAGAACCAGCAGGCTGCCATGAGATCGCAAGGTCATAGACCAGAGCTGCCCCCGGAGAAAGGGTCACTTTCCCTTGAGGGCTTCAAACACAACCTCATTCAGTAGCAGAGAGGAAGGGCCAGGGGTCAGGGTGGAGGGAGGAGATGAAGAGGGGCCACCGGGTAGCCTTACGCCGTCACCACCCGCCTCGCTGCGTCCTGGCGTGCCCTTTGGCATCATTGGTCACCAACTGAATCCAGGGACATCTCGTTGCCAGCTTTTAAGAAGCTCAAATGGGTCACCAGCTATTTCCTTGTCATATTTTTGCCAGAGTCTAGCTAATGGCCCTTCAATGTGGCAGAATAAACCTGCTAATTTCTTCTTTCATGTTAAATGTTGAAAAGCTAGCCTAGTCTAACCACGGGAAAGGATCTGATACCTTCAGTAGTTCGCGTTAATACGCGGATCTGCAAAACCTGGCAGAGATCACGGAACAACAGCTAACCCGCCACTGTCAGTGAGGGCTCTCGGAACCCCTCGGTTAATAATCCACGTGTGCTGCTGTCAGACCTCATCGTTACTGCCGCCACGGCCCGTCCTGGGTGGTGTGGAAAGAAGATACATTGGCGGGGCCATTGTGGTGGAGGCAACAAAGCATAGAATGCTTTCTTTATATGTCTCACACAGATGAGATGCCCCCAAAATGATAGGTGAGCCTCACTATTGCCTTTATTACTGTAGGCTAAAGACTGAGTGTAGCAGCAAATGGGCTGGAAACTGAAGTCCAGAATTAAATAGGTTTACCAGTGTCGTCATGGGCATGGGGCCTGTACAGGGAAGACTTAGAGCCGGCAGCAGAGTTACCCCAGCAGCCGAGCTTTGAGCTGCAAGTTTGCTTACTTGAATGTGTCCCTCCTGCTCCTTCTAAGGCTCCGGCAGGGGCCCTCATAATTTTACATTTCTATTCTTATGTTCTTTCTCTTAAAGAGGCTCCCCCAAATTGTGTAAGCATCGGGCCTCCCGGCAACACCAGCTTCAACCCTGTGGAAGCAGCATGCTCTGGGAGGGACAGGGAGAACAGATCGCATCGTGCTTGGTTCACTCAGGCCTTCTTCACTGAATGAGTAAAGGGGAAGAGAAGGTCTGCACACACAGGGTGCCTTCGACATGGAAGGACACACAGGAGTGGGGAGGAATGCTCCCTCCTTAACCGAGACACTTCACCGGCTACATAATGAGCCAGGCAGGGCATGGGGCAGAATCCCAGTCCAAACCCAACTGGGAGATGTGGGATAGCACAGTTTCTCTAAGCTGAGCTTCCCCCAATCTCCCACTGATTCCTTTCAATGTTATCCTCCTCTCTTTACCATGGCAACCCCCAAAACAAAGCAGAAAGGAGGAGCAGTGCTGGATGCTCTATGGTCCCAAGGCCTGCCCCTCTCTCTCTCTTATCACCATGCAAATGGGCCCAGACATGATCCCTCCCCCTCATGCCCTGCATCAGAAATCCAAAATTACCTACAACCTACCGAGTAAGAGATGCCCTCATTCGGTGAGCTGGGAACAGAAGGAATTAAAGAAAGCTAGGAGGCGGGCATCTGGCCTTTCAAGCCAGGCAGCCTTCGGGGATGGTCACTCTAACAACCATAACCTGATCGGAGCGGGGGAGCAGGGCTGAGCACCGCCTGCCCTCGGATTTAAGAAAGCATGAAACTATTCACCGAAGGAAACGGATTATTCCCCCCCCCCCCCCCCCGCAACTGGAAGAGACACCACCTCATTCTGCTCGCTTTCCCACCTGCCTTGCAGCCCTAGTCACACATCCCGAGCCCCCCACCTCCTGCCAAATATTTTTCTAATTCAAGAGCCATGTTGATTTTTTTAAACTTTCTTTTCACTTTTTAAATAAAACAAGAATTTAACTTGCACTGATATTTAGGCTGTTGGAAAAATAACAATGGTAGGAATCAGTCTTTAGCTATTTATCTGCTGCTTTTTTCCCTCTGAAATCTTTTGAGGGTTTCTGGAAAATTACAACACGGGGCTACCTGGCAAAGACAGGCATCAGAGTCTGAGAGTTTGCTAAGCAAGTCACCTTCTGCTCTTGCTTTGGCTCATAGAATCAGGTCCCTACCTCAGATTTTCCCTCCCCAGTGAGGACTCTCAGAGAGCTTGGAGTATGCATCTACATTAGCCTGGAGGCTGGTACCTGCTGGAATTATTAGTTCTCAGAAGCCACCTTGCCCTCTGCCATCCCCTAGCCACCCGCGACACACCTGTGCAGGCACAGTTCCGTAACTGGAGTCACTGACTTAAATGGCCCCACTCAGCCCTGTGGTGTGAGCATGTAAGCCTAGGGGTCTCTTCAGTCCTGACCACCCTTGCCCCTGGAGAAGGGGGAGAGCAGAGACTGAGCCCACACACCTGTCCTAAGTCAGGCAGAGAGGAACAGTCAGCCCATGACCCTCCTAGAATGATCCAGCAATAAGCTTTGGGGAATAGGCCAATAGATAGTGAGCTGGGACACAGGAGGGCAAGTCAGCGGCCAGAGCCCAAGGAGTCAAGGCAATTGGTACCAGAGTAAAGGAACGGAGCCAGGTTCTGGGGCACTAGGTTACAGCGTGTGGGCTCTGAAACTTTCCACATGCCTCTCGGCCAACGGCACAGCCTAATCCTTAGCACCCAAGGGGGTTCTTCATTTTGGGACTTGGTAAAGGTGCAAAAGAACTGGTTTAGAATAAGTGACTAATTTCATGAATGAGGCAAATACCATTTACTAAACAGTGCAGATGTGTATGTATTTGGATACTACATCCTGATACATATTCAACAGGTTACATGGGGCCATCCTTGCATGAGTTATCAATCCCACTTCACAAAGTTACTGGTTGAAACTCCAAGCCAAGACTCCAAGGGGAAGGCGGGCTCTGCTGTTGGTCCTCATCCCCTTCTGACTTCACTCTGAAATACAGTCTCACCCGTGTGACACGCTGATCCACACCGGGCCACGTGGGTGAAGCTTCCATGGGAGCAGATACAGCCATTCCAAATACGGTCTCCATCTCTCATGCAGCCTCTTACGGTTTAGCCTTTAAAGTATGGATATTTCTTAAGTGAATTTTTAAAAAGATTTTATTTATTATTTATTTATTTATTTATTATTATTTATTTGTTTATTTTAGAGATAGGCAGCATGAGTGGGAGGGGCAGAGAGAGAGAGAGAGAATCTCAAACAGACTCCACACTGAGCAGGGAGCCTGACCTGGGGTTCGATCCCAGGACCCTGAGATTATGACCTGAGCCAAAACCAAGAGTCAGACGCTTAACCAACTGTGCCATCTAGGCACCCCTCTTCAGTGAATTTTTATCAATCTGATAAATATCAATCTGATATTGTGATAGTTGAGTGGGAGGAGAGTGAGGTTCTAAGATCAGACGATGAAGGTTCAATTCCAGTTTTGCAACATTAAAATTGTGGGCAGCTAAATATGTATGTAAGTGGTACATGGAAGGTCTTGGGTAAGTTACATACCTTCGCTGAGTTTCCATTGTCCTTCCCTGCAAAATGGGAAGAATGATTCCTAGAAGACTCCTTTAACAAGGCGCATTTAATTAAATGAGATAATGTATATGTAACACTTTGCATAGCGCCAAGAATGTAGATAGCACACAATAACGGTCAGCTACTGTTAGTAATATTAGTAATGAACACATCCGTGAAAATGCAAAAGTTTGGGAAGAGTGACCCTCTAAAATGTCATCCTGGAAGAACTAGAAAAGCATTTCTGCCCTGGGCCTTTGACCCCCTGTCTTTCCCTCCTGGAGTCCCTACTCTAGAATGTCAATAGCATTTGCTTCCTGAGAAACAAATCTGAAAACAGAGCCCACCCCCGCCCCCCAGCCCTTTCACTCCCACCCCATGCCCTGCAGAGCAGGAGTGCCAACGTCTCCTCCACCCTGTGGGGCCAGAGCCCCAGTGCCATCTCCTCCCTGGAGTGGTACCTCCCCGGCCCTCAGTTCCTAGCACTTGTCGAGAGCAACAGCCTGCTGGTTAAACTGCGGGGTGTGCAACCGAACAGCCCAGATTAAATTCTGGTTTCTTCCTGTGACCTGGGGCAAGTGTCTTCACCTGTCCTTGCCTCGGGAATTTTATCTACGAGAGAAATAATATTATTAAATTCATCTGGTTGTTAATGAAAATTAAATGAGCTAGCCTAGGGAAAGCCAGTTAGTACATAGAAAGAACAGTCTTTGGCACACAGTAAGTGTTTAATATACTAGCTCTACGAATAACAGTTATCACCCTCATCGTCATCATCATCCTCATTCCACCAGAATGTAAATTCTTTAAGAGTAGAGGCTGTCTATATTGTTCAATATCTGACACATAAAAGGTGCTGGGTATACAGCTGTTGAATAACACGCAGCCCCCTGCATGTGGTTCATTGTTTATACAACTTCCTCGGCAGACCGTGAGCACCTGGGTTCTGACTAATCGATCCCACATCCCCGAGGTCTGCTCAATGGGCACAGAACAGATGGTCAATAAACGTTTGCTGAACGAGTATATGAAGGACCCTCTGGTTGCATGTACATGTTATCTCCCAGGAAAACACTGGCTTCAGGTCTAAGTTTATCAAAAATTCCTGCCCTGTGTTTGATGGTGACTCTTTTGCACTGGGTATATATGTTAATGATTGTGGGAAGTGCTAGAAAAGCAGGCAGTGCACTGGGGGCTGTATCCCTGGCTGTCTCCAGAGCAGGACAAAGTCCCACCAGGAGCTCCTGACCCTGTGGGTTCCCACTCCCCTCATTGCACCTTACCCCTTCCTGAGCCCCACGGCTGTCCCCCTCCTCTCCCCTTCCTCCTCCTTCCGCTCCCCGCCCCCCTCCCCCCCCCCCCCGCAGCTTGTAAAGGGCGGACCCAGCCTGGCTGGAGGAAAGCCAGACATAGGTGTGTCTCACCCCAGGAAGTCTTCCCTCAGGGCTGAAGCCTCCTCTGTCCCCTTGCAGACCAGGTCCTTCTCCTCCTTGCTTCACAGGAAACCTTCTCCTTCTTCCAGAAAGAAGTAAAAACCTTTCCCCACAATAGCTGAGCCTTTCTGCTTCAGTTCCTCTCCTCTAAAGGGAAAAATAAAATCAGGAGCATGGAGATTGAGTATAATGGGAATAAATGAAGTCTGTAAGCTTCACTAAATTACAACTCAATACTAAAGCACTGCTGTTTTATGAGCCTCTCAGTAACCAAACCTATTTATTATTCTAAGTGCCAGCAAATTTATGATCTGCAACGCCCACCGTGTTTGCTGTGGTGAGGCCACGGAGGGAGGGTGAGGCGCAGCGCCGTGTTCGACATGACAGCTTCCGTGCCAGGGGCCGCCAAGTCTGCAGGCACCTTACGTGGCTCCTTCGTCCTGCCCGCAGTGCAGTGGGGCGGCTGAGATTGGGTGTCTCCATTTATGGGTGTGGAACGCAGAGACTGAGGGGTTAAGAGTTACCCTTGCCTAGCAGTAAGTTTGGGAAACACTCATGATTTCTCTGTGTCCTTGCCGAGAGCATCCCTCTCTGCATGGATGTTGTGGGTCCAGCGGCCCTCTCCGGCGCGGCCATGTCCATCCTCTGGCACCTGTGCTCCCTCCCCACCCGCTGCCCAGCCCTGCACCTGCACCTGTGAGGCTGCACCTCCCTCAGGGGCACTCTGGCACTCCCAAGCCTTGGCTGGGCTGGACCAGGGTGTTCAGTTCCCTGGCTTTTTCCTCAAAGACATTCCAAGGAGTAAGAGCTGCCTTTAAAGGGCTTCCAGGCACCCCGGCTGAGCACTCAGAGTGGGAGTGGGTCAAGTCCCAAAGCTTCCATTAACCTGCCGCACTTCCCTGAACGGGCCACCCAACCTCGCTCCTCCTCGATGGGCTGGGGGTGAGAGGCAGCTCTGAGAATCTGATCATGCGGTCAGCGGTCTCCCCTGAAGACACAGGTCATGATGATCACGGAGTAATTTGGAGAGGGTCACAAGCTTCCATCCCCTTGAACCCCTCTGTGTACCCCATAGGTCCATGAGCCCTGGGTAAGAACCTCTGGGCCAGGCGAACTTGGACACCAAAGTGGGGAGTCCAAGGACAGATTTTCAAAGAAGAACTTCAGTAGTTTATCTTCTTACTACAAATTGTTAAAAAAAAGACAGATTTTTTTTAATATACATTTTTTAATTTTTTTATTTATTTGACAGAGAGAGAGAGAGACAGCGAGAGCAGGAACACAAGCAGGGGGAGTGGGAGAGGGAGAAGCAGGCTTCCCACGGAGCAGGGAGCCCGATGCGGGTCTTGATCCCAGGACCCTAGGACCATGACCCGAGCCAAAGGCAGACGCCCAATGACTGAGCCACCCAGGCGCCCCAAAAGACAGATTTTTTTTACAGAAAATTACTGTAAACCCACTACCCGCAAAACCACTATTAATACTTCAATAAATATCCCTCAGTCTTTCTCTCTCACTCCTGACATTTATACATAAATCCACTCATTATATCAGGAATATTTTCTCATGTCATTCACTCATTTAAATATTATTTGAAAACAACGTCTACATGGTAATCAATGGCACGGTAGTTCTATAATGTATTATTAGCCAGTCCTTAATTGAAAATAACATTTAGATGTGACCATACGTGATAATTTGGGGGGCCTAAAAGTGGAATTTCCAGCTTTGCTCAGAAAGAGTACCATGACAATTAATACCTGTGACAATCTGCTCCTCAACCTGCCCGCTCCTCCCACCCCCCCAAAAGTTGTGCCTGTTTCCACTCCCGGCAGCTGGAAGCGAGGGCAGGTGGAGGAGCCTTAAATCGGCTTGCGTGAGCTAGCAGCTGTAGGATCCTGACACGGAGCGGGATCTCTGCTTGCTAAAAGCTAACCACCGTCGCAGGCCATGGCAACCATGTCTACTTTCAGGACCAGCCTTGGCATGTTTCGAAATGGGCACGATTTGTCTTGGGCGCCTGCCTCACCCCCTGGCCCCAACTTGACAGCCACTTGATCTGACAGTAGTGCTGACTCAGCCAACCATTCCCCTGGCCTCCCAGGTTCTGTACCAGCAGCTCCCCCTGCCTCCCTAGAATCCATCTGCTTTATCTCATCCTGTCAGCGGGCTCTAGGCTCTGCAGCATGAATCCGTGATGGGCATCTCTGTGACCGAGTCCGGGGGAGCAGGCTGAATCCTGAGCAGAAGGGCCCTGAGTGCGGGGCAGCAACAGCAGAGCCAGAGAGTAGGGCCATGTCACCGGGCAGCGGGTGACGGGCCACCTCAACGTCCCGTTGCACCTTCCCTGGCTCTCGCACGGTTGGTCCTTCAGCATGTTGTCCAAAGAGAAGAGTGGGGCCTTCTGAAAGGACAAATCCATTTCTCGTGAGAATTGGCTATGTGGAGTGTGTTGCCCAGAATGCTGGGCAGAGTTTCAACCATTGGTTTGGCAAGCTGTGCTCTTCTCTGGGCCCCAAATCTGCATATTAGGGATGGGAGGGCAGGGAGGGGGAGGCTCCAGGTGTCGCTGGTCGCACACATGGCCTGCCCCACTGCTGACCGTCTTCCTTCTTGGCCCCACAGTCCGATGGCTCCATCCTGGCAATTGCCCTGCTGATCCTCTTCCTGCTGCTGGCCCTGGCTCTCCTCTGGTGGTTCTGGCCCCTCTGCTGCACCGTGGTAAGTGCCCAAGCGGGTCCTCCCCACCCCAGGCCTCTGGCAGAAGGTGACACAAGGTTAACAGGACCATGAGGAGGACAGGTTGACAAAAGAAACAGTTTAAAGATTAAGGACAAATTTTGCATTATTCATACAATTTATACAAAGTTGGCATAAACTGACATTGCTCGGTGGAACCACAAGTCGTTAGGAATCAGTATGGGTTAGGGAGTGAGATGGCCAGTGGGCACAGCCTTTACGTAGGGCAGCCGAGGGTGCCGCTCTGGCTCTGGTGCTTGGAAGGACCCACAGAATACTGTAAATGATGAGTGGTATCTGATATGCATCACACTCGCACGTGTGCGTGCACGCACACACACACACACACACACACACGCATTGTGAGTTGCACCAGCTGATACTCATCCAAGGCCACGCTAGCCTCAGCAGCTAGTTTGTCCAACTGAGAGAGCCTCTTTATTTTTAACAAGCCTGACTGACACCCGCCTTTATCTCATTATTTTTAGCTAACATTCATAGGATGCACCTACCGTGTGCTCAGCACTAGTCTAAGCACTTCGGCTACAAGATCAGTACAAATCTGTCTCCTCCCCATCATCGCCATCAGGAGCCACCACAGGGCTCCGGCCCATGTCTCCCCAGATAGCTTTGGGCCTGGAATAATCTGCCATCAACTGCAGCACCCAATGAAATGTGCCTGTTTATCAATTTTTGTTCCCTGGCCCCTAGGCTAGGAAAAGTGCAAACAAAGTCATATCCAAATGAAAAAAAAAATCGCTTTCACGTGCCTAACTCCTGCCTTTCTGCAAATCGCAGCATGCACGGTAAAGCCCAGGTGAGTTTGAAGTGAGGACTGTTCTGCCGCCAAGCATCTTCCATTCCCTGTATCTTAGTTCTTCCATGGAGAGTCCCGTGGGGGAGAGAGTGAGCCTCTCCAGCAAAGAACTTTTCTTCATTTTCTCTTGAGCATTCAGTACACAGTGCAAGGGAGGGAACTCACATCTGTGTATGCAACTGAGCTCAGCAAGGGACAAAATCTCAGAGAGCCCTGGACTCAAAAAGGTGGGGAGAGGGCTTCGAATGACATTTTATAAAGAGGTGGTAAAGGAAGGACATGAGAAGCTTGACCAGAATGTGAATCCATGTAGCAGGGACTTCTGGAAAGAAAAGAGACTCTTGCACCAGCAGGGCCCCTGGGAGTTGAGGGAAAGAGACAACTTTCAGTGGATCAGAACATGTGTGTGCAGGAGGGACCCAGGACAGGCGCAAGCCTCGGGTCAGCTAGTGCAAACCAGACTGGACCAATTCACCCAGACTCCACACACATTCTTCCGACAGCAGCCCCGAAAGTTAAAAGGTGTTTTCAGTCCTTAAGGCTGCACAACCGTTTTATTTTGAGGGTAAAAAAAAAAAAACCATGAGTCAGCTAAGGTGCTTTCTATGGTGATTCAAAAACAAGCACATCTTCAAGACTAAAATTCTGAGAGGGGGGAAAAAAAACCCCAACAAACCTTTGCAGCGGGCTCTTGAAGAAAGGGGTGGCCAGGGGTGGAGGTAATGGTGGCCTTGAACAGCAGGGCTCCTACTGTGGTAGGCGTCACCCCAGTGCCTTTCATTCTCAAAAACGGGTACTTCTGGGTGGGGACAGCTAGGCACAACAGAACAGCTAGCAGCTCTCTGTCACTTACTAGCTGTGTGATCTTGGGCAAGTTACCCAACCTCTCTGGGCCTCAGTTTCTCCAGTTGTATAATGAGGAAAATAGGAGCACTGACTCATGGATAGATGGTGAAGCTTAAAAGAGTGCGTGTATATACTGCTTAGAGCAGTAACCCGCACATAGTAAATGCTGTCCACTGTTATCAATATTAAAAAATATTTACTATAATAGGAATATATTCCTGTATTCCTGTATTTCCATAGAATTCCATTTATATTGGTAGGAAATGTCTCTTGAGATATGACTGACATATGATATTATATAAGTTTAAGGTATACAACATAATGATTTGATACATGTATCTATTGCAAAATGTTTACTGCAATAAGTTTGATTAACATCCATCCTCTCACATAGTTACAAATTTTTTTCCTTGTGAGGAGAACTTTTAAGATTTACTCTCTTAGCAGTTCTTAGCAACTATTAAATATACCATACAGTATTCTTAACCATGGTCATCCTACTGTCCATTAACAAGATACGCTACATGTAACATGATATGATTAACAAGATGTGTAAATGGACAATAGGGTGACCATGGTTAAGACCACTTCACCCAATTCCCTCTCCTCCCACACCTCCAACCCCACTTCTGGCCACCACAAATATGATCTGTTTCTAGGAGTTTTGTTTTGTTTTGTTTTTAATTCCACATGTAAGTGATATCACATAGTATTTGTCTTTCTCCATTTGACTTACTTCAGTTAGCACAATGCCCATTTGACTTACTTCATTTAACACAATGCGCTCAAGGTGTGTCCAGGATGTTGCAAATGGCAGGATTTCCTTCCTTTTTATGGCTGAATAATATTCCATTGTATATGTACTACAGTTTCTTTATCCATTCATCTGTCAATAGACACTTGGGTTGTTTCCATGTCTTGGCTATTGTAAGTAATGTTGCAGTGAACATGGAGGTGCAGACACTTCTTCAAGATCATGATTTCATTTTCCTTTGGAGATCTACCCAGAAGTGGGACTGCTGGATCATATGGTAGTTCTATTTTTAATTTTTCACGGAACCCCCGTGCTCCAATTTACATTCCCACCAACAGCGCACAACAGTTCCCTTTACTCCACATCCTAGCCAGTGTTTGTTATCTTTTGTCTTTTGATGATAGCCGACCCTTCTAACTGGTATGAGGTGATATTTCATTGTGGTTTTAATTTCCAGGGAAATGTCTCTGAATTAACATCTTTCATTACTGGAAGCAGTGTCACCCAAGGCCAGATTGTTTTGCAACATTCAAAATATTTTTCAATGAATTTCTCTGCTTAAGTCCATGTTGCTTTGGAAGGTGGCCAAAATGTGTTAATGTGATCTGATTTTTTAAGTCCCAAAGGATTTCTTTACAAGGGAAGATCTTGGAGATTAATTTTCCTGTTTATCATGTCTATAAAAACTGCCTTCACTCCTATTTCTGGAAGCTGGCCAGAGCTCTGATGTTTGGTATGCCCCCAAAAACTATTTGTTGACCACTGACTTTCCTGAAGAGCGATGATGTCTGAGGAGACAGGATAAAATCATGTGTTTTCTAAAGGGAGTACACAGGAAGGAGGGCAAACATCACCTCCCTGCCTCCGGCCCCCATCCCAGGATCCTGGTTCTGAGGATGCAGGACGTTTCTCTCCCTTGAGGGACAACACCCCTACCCACAGTTCTGGGACTGGCAGAGGGCATCCTTGTGAATGATGGTCCTGAAACCTTCCTCTGTCACTCCCCCTACCCTGCCCCAAGTGCAGGGGATGCCCCATGACCTGGTACGAAAACTGCATCGTGATGATGGGAAGCAGCCAGGGAGCAGAAAGGTCTTGTGAAATGTGGAGTTCGAGAGGCTGCTTGTCTCTGCTACAAAGTTTTCTCCGGGAGTGATATACAAAATATTTAACAATTGTATAAGGCTCCCCACCCCAACTGAGCCAAACATTAACCCTTTAGTGGCTGGCTATGGGGCAGGGGTGGGGGGCAGTCCCCAAAATCCTGGGGCAGAAGGGCAGGGACTCGGATTGCTATTTACTAATCATAAAGAGCACTTTAAAATGTACCGGCACCTGGATGGCTCAGTCACTGGGCATCTGCCTTCGGCTTAGGTCATAATCCTGGGGTCCTGGGATGGAGTCCTGTATCAGGCTCCCTACTCAGAGGAAGCCTGCTTCTCCCTCTCCCACTCCCCCTGCTTGTGTTCCCTCTCTCACTGTGTCTCTCTCTACCAAATAAATGAATAAAATCTTGAAAAAAATAAAATAAAATAAATATTATTAAAGTGTAATGACCAGTCTGACCAGACCAGACATAGTGGTTACTATCAGGCCTGCCCTCTGCCTCAGCATCCTTGCTTCCTGCTAGCCCTGTCTGGAAGAAGACATGTGAAGGGTGACCAGTGCTCCCCATTTCATTTTGCCTTTCCTCCAGGACCCCACGCCCATCTGGGCTCTTATCTTCCAGCTAGATGGAACCTGGGGTAACTTACTGCCCACATAGCAGAATAGAATCTCTCAGTCATGACTGATGGAGAGAGAGAAGTAATTGGCCAGATCCTGGATCAAAACCTTTTAGTGTTCCCCAGCCTGGCTCTTGGGATCCCCAGGTAAACCTTTGGCTTCTAAGATTCCTACGTGTATTCACTGGCACAAAAACACCCACAGATGGGTGTTATGAACAAATAATGAATCATGGAACACTACACCAAAACAAATGATGTAATATATGGTGATTAACATAACAATAAAAAATTTTAAAAAAAAACACCCACAGTGAGGGAGAGCCAGGCACCGGACTGTGCACACCAGACTTATTTGCATTTTCAAAAAGAGAATTCAAGGGTCAGTATTATACCAGAAAGAAATAAAGCCCTGCCTCAGTCTCACAAGGGGCATCACGGTATCCTTTAAGTCATGCGCTGGCCACTCCATCTACTCATAAGTTTGGTCCAATAGTATTGAAATCTCTCAAGTGAACTCAAAAAAGAAGAAGATTAGGAAATGAAAATAAGAAGAGGATCATGAGAAAAAAAAGAGCTGAAATATATTAGAAGAGTAAATATTTTGAATGGCTTGAATGTGTAGAGAAAAAGTCAACAGTGAATCAGTGATATGAGAGCACTGAACTATTCTAGAAAATGCAGGCAGTCCTGCATTTCATAAATTACATGGAGGTTACATGTAATGTCTTATATGTATCAAATTGCATAACAAAAGACATTTATATCGGTTTCTTGAATAAAATCATAGAAATGTGCCCGTGTTATTGGGAGGTTAATGGTGTATCAGGAACTCCAGGTAAAAAGATCTCGCCAGGGCGCCTGGGTGGCTCAGTTGGTTAAGCGGCTGCCTTCGGCTCAGGTCATGATCCTGGAGTCCCAGGATTGAGTCCCGCATCGGGCTCCCTGCTCGGCGGGGAGTCTGCTTCTCCCTCTGACCCTCTTCCCTCTCGTGCTCTCTCATTCTCTCTCTCTCAAATAAATAAAATCTTAAAAATAAATGAATAAATGAAACCAGACTGGTAGGTCAACATTTAAAAAAAAAAAAAAAGATCTCGCCATATTTTGCCAGATGAAAAAATTCTGGAGACTGGTTGCATAACAATGTGAATAAACTTAATACTATTGAACCATACACTTAAAAAATGGTTAAGATGATAAGTTTTAGGTTTTGTGTTTTTTATCACTATTAGAAAGAAAACAAAAGAGATCCTGTTATAAAGTTACAGTTCTTCTGAAATCCAATTAAACCATGCTATTTAGGTGAGATCAAATCATTATATTTCTGTTCAAATAAAGGCAAATATTTTTATTCAGTTTGTAGGGAGAGGATAGTGTGCATGCATCCAGAGTTTCTCCCTACATAAGCAAAATTCTGCTCTCTTTTGTTCTTAATGCTTTTGTAGGTATCTTACGAACAGTTTTTAAAGCAGTGTATAAAAGATCATGTTTAATTCACTTTATTGAATTTCAAGAACAGTTCAACAAATTAAGTCCCTTTGACAGCTCCAATGACAAATTGCAAGGGACAAAAATTAATCAAGAACTTGATATGCCTTATTGGAAATAAAAATAAAGTCTTCAAACAATGCTTTCCACACCTTTAAGCATAACATTTAATTGGTAGGGCCAGACAGCCCAGCTTAACATCAGCAAAGGGATTTACAGTTGGTTTGTTTAATAGAAACCTGACTGGTGCAAGCAGCTTCTTAGCCATGCATCTCAGGCCTAGACTCATCATGCTTTCTGGATCCTTTCTTGCCTCCACCCATTCCCATCTGGACACTCCTCTGTAGCTTACGAGATTATTCCTGACAGGCACACAGAGCTCTGTCATGGCCTGCCCTCACCTCTGGAGCTCTGCACCCCACACCCCACACCACACACATCCAGTCTGTTCTCATCTCTGCCTTGCTTCGTGGCTCCCCGCATCCCTGCCACGCTGGCCTTGCCACTTGCCTTATAACCCAGACACCACCACCCCCATGCCTGCTGGGTGAAACAAGGAGAGGCGAGCTGTCATTAAAGACAACTGGGTTCCAATACGTAGCTTCCTCTTCCCTCACAGGATTGCGCCAATCCCTCCACCTTAATTTCCTCACTTGTAAAATTTAAACACTGGAACCATATTGTCTCCAAAGTTACCTCTTTATATTCTTACCTCCTATAAGTGAATCTACTCCTCCCTTTCAAGATTCCCTGGCCTGTGGTTCTCAAACCTGATTATACATGGAAATGACCTGAGGATTATATGATGGAATTAATCAGAGGCAGCATTTCCAAACTATGTCCACAGAACAGTAGTACCTACAAGATGTGAGTAGGTATACTTCAGAACAGGGGTATCTAGACAATAAGTTTGAAAGACACTATTAAACTAAATTGAATAACTGTCTTCACTGTGGGACTTCTCAGAGCGTTTAATAAGATCATTTGTGTTATGAAATGTCCAAACTTATTTTGACCCTGGAACCCTTCCTTAGCCTATTCCTATCCCCCTGCCCTTCCAAATACCTATTAATGTACAGACACCTGGAAAGACGTGAATATTCTACCAAATACTGTTTGGGAAACATAGTCAAGCAGTGGAAAGAGCAGATTCCTGAGCTCTGAGGTGCAGCCTCTTTCCTGGCCCGCTGAGAGACTGCATCAAAGCCAACAAGCTTCACAGGCTGTGAACATCTTCAAGCCTTCCTTGTTCCCTGTGTGCCCTGCTCAGATCCCAGAAGCACTACTTGTGGCTGGAATCATCTTGCCCATAACCTAGGCAGACTGGACGCTCCTCCCCTCAAGCCTGAGGGGATCTGAATTCATGGATTTCTTCTAACCGTTTCACTTAACAGAGTTTTGCAGTGACAGTGACATATCATCTACTGGAGAATATGCACAGCTATTCTTTTAAGTTACCATGTGAGCCACGTATGCCTGATTAACTAATGTGAAAATGCTTGTCCCTCACTACTCTCATTTAGTTATTAAGGCATTCACTCTAAGGCAAATTAGGGATGAGTCTTAAGAGAGATGAGTTGGGAGGGCCAAAAACATTTGAAATTTGAGTCGCAAATGCAAAAAAGGAAAAAGTTGACCTCATTTCTATGAAAATTTCTTGCACTACATTCTAGATCAACACCTTTCGTCCTATAGCCTTTGCTAAACTACAGTGTCCAATTACTGGATCCAGGCGGTACTTGGCCAGCACTAACCCACTCCAATCAGCTGTGAGGTTTCCGTGACATTTATGTTGTTCGTAGAGTAGAAAGATCCACTTATCTGCCATTAGCTAGCATTTCATGCTTCCTGGATGTCTTCCACATCAAGTTGCCCATTTTCCCTTGGTTTTTCATTTTAATGAGAAGAATAGCTATGATAAAATTTGTCTAGGATTTAAAGCATGAAAGCAAGCATCCCCATCTACCTGTGATATTCAAGCCCTTGTTAGATGCCTTTCGGAGCTCGACTGGCATTTCTTCTCCACACAGCTCTGTTCTGATGGCTTCTCCTCACACGGAACCTATGAGGCCAGGAGACAGCGGAAGAGTTAGTGCTAAGAAATCAACCTAGAAGTCTCAGGATATGCAGTGTTTTAAATGTAAGGCCCCAAGAAACTTTAGCCATCTGAATACAATATTTATTTGAGCCAACCCCTCTGAGCATGCAAGAAACAATCATTTGTGAAAAAGAAATTACTCTTGATGGTGATACAGTGAGAACTACATAGCAGAACGGGGCGGGGGGGAACTCCTAGAAAAAAATAGAATAAAAGTTGTTTCAAATACATATCCAGGCTCATAAGAAAATAGAGGACACTTCCAGGGCCAAAATAAAGAAGGATCTGGAAACCAGATGGTTGACTGACCCTAAAGCAGTGGCAGTCCGAGGGGCAGGAGATTTTCTGATCTCAATAACCCAGACCTTTGTTTTAATAGCCTTATATAGGCCCATAAAATTGTGGGAGTTGGAATGGAGTCTTCTGCCTAAAGCTGGGAACTTGCGTAAAAGGATGGGCCATGGGTTTGGTGTGTGTGTGTGTGTGTGTGTGTGTGTCCCTAAGAATTCAAAACTATAACCTCTCAGTTTTAGAATTCACATATATCTTACTTGTGGTTCTGTAAATTGCACACTAAGAAAAGTGGTCAGTTTGGAAGTACTTAGGAATCTGCAGAAGGAACCTCAAATCCTCTCTGGCAGGTGGAGTCCTCAACCCAATCCTCACAGGATTCTCTCAGGTAAATGCAAAGTACCCATGAGCTCACAATCCAAAATTACCAAAAACCAAAGGAATATAATTACTGAGATTCCTTGAGGTTTTCCAATACATATGGAAAGCACCGAGACCGGATGTGAGATAAGGAAGTCAGGCTGGGTCAGGAGTTTCTGTGTTCTCTCCAAAGTTAGCAATGGCTATTAAGTTAGCAGGTACCTCAAAAGTTCTTCAAAAAAAAAAAAAAAGTTCTCCAAATACTGTCATTTCTCCTATAACATGTGTTCTTAAAAATATCACTGCATTATGGAATTTTGGCCCCATAAAAATAACAGGACTAAGGGGGGACATGAGTTCAAAGCAGAACATTCAAAACTGTGCAGTCTAATAAAACATACCACTTTTAAAAATTAATAATAATAAAAATTCCACCATTTTAAGCATCATAAGTCCCTAATTTAAATTATGCGACAGTAAATATACCACTTTGCCTTGGTTTGTAAAAATAGACACATGAAGTTTCCTGGTGCATGTGAGTATGATGTAGCACTGTGGCTTCGAGTGACAGAGACAGGACGGAAGGAAGGACATTCTTAGGACAAAGTGTCACGACACCAGAGGTAGATGGCTGTGACTCACTGTCTTGTTATTCCTTCTGCACCAGCTTAAAATAGAAATCTAGCTTCTGTTGTTTTGCCAGGTTCTTCTTTTCATAACAAAAAAGGCTATTTGTGTGGCTCTAAGTAAGACCGAATGCCGTGGAAGTACTACTCTGCTGCTCGGGGCATTAGAGCCTTTTCTTCAATCCATGGCGCATGCCTCTAATCCCCTTCAAAGCCAGTCATGGCCCCCGTTCAGTTCCATTCTCCTTTCTTTTGGTTCTTTGGTGTGGCCTCTGAAGAAGCTCGGTGTGGGCACCTTTACTCCCATGGGTCTTCCGATGCCTCATCTTCTCTCATCTCCTCACAACTTCTCCTCCACACGTGTAAGCCTCTCCTCCTTCACTCACTGCCTGTCCTCTTACGACCAGGACACATACTCGTGTTGAGGATGCTCTAGTAAATACTTTCGTGAGGACAAGTGCAGAGGCTCAGGAGCATGATATACACTGGCACTGAACGAGGGCGAAGGGAAGTGAGAAAACGGATGTGGTGTGTGAGGGTTTGTGTTCCCTCCCAGGTCACTGATGGCAGCTGGGCAGCATCTTCACATTCACCCGATGCTACTCAGCGGCACCAAATACAATCCCCTCACACTTTAAAAACTTTAATATTATGTTGTGTGATTTTTACCACACAAAAAATTAATATATATAATATGTATATATATATATTACCTTCTCCTTTACCTCATGAACAATCAAATTTTGAGGTAACATGATCTCACAGTTTACTGATTTTATGCCCAGTTTACCTACCACATATGAACAAATTCACATATTACATGCCTGTATTGTAACAAAAGGGACTGCACATGTCACTTCCAAATTTTCGGGAAGCCTTATTAGAAATTTAGTTTGGGACACAATGCTTGGAAAGTGGATTCTTGAACTACATGCATGTGAATTTACATGGAAGCTGGGGTTAGGGAATAGAATGGGGTATAGACGTGTCCAGTGAAGTACTGTAATTAATATAAATCCAACCTATGACCCTAATAAGAGCCTCATGATGCATCTAAGTGTCACAACCGACTCTCAGCGGTTGGCACTATTAGCGTATTAACTACTAAAGAAGCATCTATATGGACAATTGAGAGACAGGAGACCAGTCCTGAGTCTTGTATTACCGGAGGGCTTATTGGAGAGGCAAGGAAGTTTAGACTAATGAGGAATGCTTCCTTTACATTTTCTGCCATAAGAATGCACCCCCATTCTTCCCAGAAATAGTGACGGAGTAACAAGCACCGGGCTACGTGTCAGGAGATAAAAGCTGGCCAAGTATGCCCATGTCTTCTAGGGGCTGAGGTCCGGTACAGAAGCAAGATGCAAACACAGTTCATTGTGTTAACTGACAATGGTGCAGACCGTGAAGGCTGAGATCTGTGTCCCTAGCTCCCAGGGAACTATGTGGCTGGGATTGCTTCAGGGCTGGGTCCAAGAGGCCAGCTCTGCACACAGATGAGCACAAATGCTCCCTAGAGAAAGCCAGAGAGTGTCTGCGAGCAGAGCTGGGAGTCTCCTCCAGAAACAGTTCCGTGTCTTCCCCAACACGCTGACATATGGGCTATGGAGATCCCATAGCTCCTGATAATAAAGCAGGGGACACCATAATTTTTAGACTGAGACATTTTCGAAGCCGGTGTTTCTAATCAGCCATAAGCAACTCTCAACAGGAGTGTCTGACCTGACGCAACAACATGGCCCCCGCATATCTAGTTGAGGCTAGCATTGTCAGAAATAAGCTAAAGTGTGGTCCATGGACCAGGAGCAGAAGCAACATTTGAGAATTCGTTAGAAATGCAAAGACCCAGGGGCACCTGGCCGGCTCAGTTGGTTTAGCGTCTGCCTTCGGCTCAGGTCATGATCCCAGGGTTCTGGGATCGAGCCCCACATTGGGCTCCCTGCTCAGGGCGAGGCCTGCTTCTCCCTCTCCCCTTGCTCATGCACTCTGTCTCTCTCTCTCAAATAAATAAAATCTTTAAGAAAAAGAAAGAAATACAAAGACCCCCTCCCTAGACCTACTAATGAGAAACTGCCGAGTGCAGCCAGAAATCTGTGTTTTAAGAAGCCCTCCAGGGCGCCTGGGTGGCTCAGTTGGTTAAGAAACTGCCTTCGGCTCAGGTCATGATCCTGGAGTCCCGGGATCGAGTCCCACATCGGGCTCCCTGCTCAGCAGGGAGTCTGCTTCTCCCTCTGACCCTCTTCCCTCTCGTGCTCTCTATCTCTCATTCTCTCTCTCTTAAATAAATAAATAAAATCTTTAAAAAAAAAAAAAAAAAAGAAGCCCTCCAGGTAACTCTGATACTCCATGAAGTTTAAAACTCATTCAAATTAGAGGACATGTGCTGAATTTTGTTAACAGACTAGTATTTTTAAGCAGTTCTCTTGAACTTTGCCTGGGCAACACAATTGGTTCGGTGTCAAGGAAGGGTCTCCTCTGCAACAAGAGAACCGCACCTTCACTGTAGAGGGGTTGCAGGAGATGCTTCTCATCCAGCTCATGCACAAAGGATCCTGAGTCACTAAATACAATTTATGGAGAAAGGGAACCCAAAAGAAGTCCCCTGTTTTGTCCCACTTCTCATGCCCTAAGATGAGCATCTGTCTAAAATGAGCTTGTACAGCTTAGCCGACAGCCAACTGCTGTCACAGAGAGCAGAGACAGGAAAGATAAGGAGGAGAAATGTGCAGTTGTGGTGGTGGGGACATAGCAGGCGACCATGTGGGAATAGCCAGGCCTGGCCTCTCCTGCTCCTCATGAGCATGTTGACCTGACTCACAGCTTGAAATGGAACATCTAGGGACGCCTGGGTGGCTCAGTCGGTGAAGCGTCTGCCTTCAGCTCAGGTCATGATCCCAGGGTCCTGGGATGGAGTCCCACATCAGGCTCCCTGCTCAGTGGGGAGTCTGCTTCTCTCTTTCCCTCTGTCTCTCCCCCTGCTTGTGCTCACTCTCTCTCTCTCTCAAATCTTTAAAAATAAAAATTGGGGGGGGGGCGGCGCCTGGGTGTCTCAGTTGAGTAAGTGTCTGCCTTCAGTTCAGGTCATGATCTCAGGGTCCTGGGATCAAATCCCATGTCTGTCCAGCTCCCTGCTCATCTGGGAGTTGGCCTCTCCCTCTCCCTTGGTCCCACCTCCTTGCTTGTGCTTTCTCTCTCTATCTCAAATAAGTAAATAAAATCTTTTAAAACATAAAAACAAAAACAGAAAATAAATAAATGGAATATCTAGTGAGCCAGTGTGGCTATCATCTGAGAAAAGGAAGAGGTGCTTGTGTTAAAAACTGGGTAGAATGCATCCTGCATTCCATTGCACAAGACAGTAGCAGTAAAGTTAGCAAGGGCAAACAGAGTGGCAAAGATCAAAACAGACAAATTAGGAGCAAAACTTGAATACTTCTGGAGGAAAAAAAAATAAGCAAAATAAACTCAGCAGGTGCTTTTTTTTTTTACCTTAACATTCTATAAAATTAATTTTAAAAGAGAGCATTACAGAGACCTAAACAGGTGAACTTGACTCATAAAGCCAGAGTACAGTTCCCAGGTACCAACGAGAACCTGGGTGTATATGATCTTCCGACCGTGTTTGTGCTACGTCAGCTCTGTCTCCTTGTCTTCACCATTACCATTTCCAGTAGTCAGACTAAGGGGTGTACACAAAACTGTACTTTGTTTTGACTCAGTGAGAAGTTGCCAGTAAGGTTTCAGTTCAGTAAGATTCTACCCGATCTTTTCTTTCCTTTATCCATACAACAGTCTTTGTCAAATCCGGCCCTATCTCATGTCTACCTAAACAAACATGGCTGAAACTGGTGATAAGGGAGAAGGGTCATTGCTCCCAATTCACAGCAGAGACAGTCTCAAGAAGTTCTCAGATAGCAAAGAAACACAAATAGAATTCAAAAGTCCACATTCTGTCTCATTTTTCTTATCCCCTCTATGTCACCAGTCCAACCATTAATGCAGAAGGATCTCTAGGGCAGTTGTCCCAAGGAAGCAAATGGTCACCTTCTGCCCATCCACAATATCCAAGCTAAAGATGCCAGTAAGTGGAGAAGTGGTGCTGGCCTCTGGAGGAGAAATATGAAAAATGGCCCCAGATTTGTCCCCAGTACTGCCATTCAGTGCCACCATGTTATCCTATAAATATGTTTATTGAGCGTTCTCCTTCGAAACATTTTACTAAGGAACTCCTCAACCTTACCATCTTCTATTTGTCCCTCCTAATGGGGAAAGATCTGACGAGCCCACTCACAACCAAGCAGAATCTCCCAGAACCTTCTCAGAAGGGAAGTAGGCCAAATCATACCTATGCTTGGCAGTGCTCAGCTGATTCCAGCTTACATTCTAGTTAGAATTAAATGCTTTCTAGTCATACTAGTTGGAAGCAAAGAACTGTTGAATTCATCTGTTAATTATCATTAAGAGTGCTACAAGAGACACTGGGTTCTGTGAGATCCCAAAAAGGGGAACTTACCTGTGCTGTGAGGTCAGGGGCGACTTCGAGGGTGGGTGTATTTACGGATCTATCTGAGTCGATGAGTCAATGAGTCGGTGTGAACCTGGTTATGTGCAGGCACAGGGACAAAGCAGGGTGGGATCGAAAGCATTTAGGCTACAAGTGAGAACCAGCAGGGTGCACAGAAGGAGCAGGAAGGTGACTAAGATGCTGAAGTGCAGAAAGTTAAGGGGAGAGTGCAGAGGGGTGAGGTGGAAAGGTGGGGGCACATCACGCATCGTGGAGGTGGGGCAGTCGGCCTTTTACCCCGTGGGCCCCAGGCCCCTCCATGCAGCCAGGCTGCAGTGGTACCTACCGCAGGCTCGAGAGCGATGCGGTGTGCTGCCCAACTGCTCTCCTAGGCATGGGCTCTGGCCCTCTGAGGGTTGGGGTGGAGAGGGCCGACATGTCCCTGTGCTCAGAGCATTCCTTTGGGTGGCCTGTGTGCTGGTCTTGGCACAGGGGTTTGGCTCACTCACAGACAGCCTGTCTAGCTTCATGACTTGGAATAGTTATGTAATGACTTCAACGTCGCCTGTCTGGATCATTCTTTGAAACGCTCTCCTGCTGTCCCAGGGGAGGCCTGATGGTGGCAGAGCTTGAAGCAATAGGAAGACTTCCTCTTCATTCCTGCTCAGTACTGCCAGGCACCCAGCCAGTAAGGCCAGATTAGAGGTGCCTCATCCTATTTACCTGAGCATGGTGGCATTCTTCCAGAAGCTCAGGTGCCCATTTACAGTGTGTCAGCATGGAACCTGGATTACAAATTAGCCCACCTTTGATTAATACTTGATACATTGTGTATTCTGACATTGTCTTGTGGGTTCCCCTTGGGACATTGCTAGATGTGGAATTCAGTAAATACTCAGGAAGTGACTCTGAATGACAACCACAGTTGGGTTGGTCTGAGTCGTAGGCCACTTGGTGCTGCACTTACTGGTTCATGTCACCTGCCTACACACGTGTGGTGAGACACCCTAGTGCTAACCACCCTGACGTCCCTTGGCCATTCTCAAGCCCCCTGACCACTGTCTGAGCACCAGTCTCCTGCCTTACTCATCTTATGGAAACCACCATACATAGTCATTAGTAGATCAGTATATGCAGGGGGTTAAGTGAAACCTTCGTTAAAGAGGTAATAAAGGCAAAAGATAGAGAAAGGAGAAAAGGAAGGCAAAGAATAATAATAATAATAATGGCACATACCATTTATTGAACACCCACTCTATACCAGCTGTTTTACAAACATTATTGCTCATCATGACTCTACAAGGTTACGTTACTCCCATTTAACAGATTAGAACAGTAGAGCCCAGGGAGGTTCAAGGACTGGTCAGATCTTCACAATCAGAAAAAGGCAGGTCTGGGGTTCCCGTTGGACAACAATGCTGTGCTTCCATGCAGTGAGGGAGGAAGCTGGCAGCGCCGTGAAGACAAGAGCCCAGCTGCTTTGCACGGAACCTCTATATACCCAGCATCCTTGCTGTGCACACTGCCCACAGCTCTTCTGTTAACGTCTGTCTGTGTTTCCCCGATATCCTGCTCTCCCTCTCACTCCCCTCCCAACCCAGCCCTAAGAGAAAAGACCCATGCCAGATTGCTGTCCCCACCTCCTCACCTCTCCCTCCAGTTTCCGGCCATTTCCTATTTTAAAATCATCCCCGCCTCTGGGACAATGGGAAGTCAGCATTGGACAGTAATGGCCCTCCCCAGAGATTTCCTTAAGGCATTCGGAGCCAGTGTTGAGTGGGTGAGCAAAATCATGGCTTCATGCTTTCCCAAGACCTTCAGCAGGCTTCCCACAGTGGCCAGGAAGTGGGCACAGATGAAATGACAGCTTGAAAGCCCTGGAGGCCTTAACCTTGGCCTCTTAATTAATTGAATACCATCCTTTTAGATGGCTGGAGTCTCCCTTCCCTGGCTGGTGTTAGTACAACCTCAAGTCAGTAGCCAATCTCAACATACAGAGATGATATTACAGATAGTGGTAGTGTGGGTGATAGCAGTGGGGATCAGAGCCCCGATGAGGTCCCCAAATCATCCGATCAAAGGAGACATGTGCTCAGGAGGGACAGGTGAGGAAGACCTTGATGCCTAGAAGGCAGCCAGGTCAGCAGCCAGGCGAGCTCTCCAACTAGAAGAGTAAGGATCTGGCTGGTCCTGTGGGAGGACCTGAGCACCCATGCTCATAGTGGCCCAGGCCAGCCCTGGCACTAGGACACCAAGAGATATAGAATGACCTTTGTGTTTACCAGAATTCTCTAAGGAAAAGACGGCATGTAGGGGACCCAAAATTCTAAGCTTGGGGTGAGAGGAGGGAGCCTCCAAGGGACTTGGTGGAGTCACAGTAGATAATGGCCAAGTTGCTTTATAAAAGACTCTAAATCTAATTAACTGCACGTGGTTTCCTTTTACGCATGAGGCGTGCAAACTGGGGACAAGCAGGAGAAGCTGCTCACGGTCACCGAACTGTCCTCCTCCCGGGCATCAATCATCCTCTCATTGGTTAGAAGAAGTTCCGGATTGCTCTCCCCTCCCGGAGTGTCCACATGTCTCTCTTCTTCAGTCCTGATGATGGGGAAGTTGCAGAATACAATCTTATAATATTGTAATGTAAATCTTGGTGCCCCTTAAAAGTCAGGGCCCTAAAAGAAATCCCTGGTTACCCCTCTTTTGCTGCCCTCTGTCAGGAATTGGTCTGCCTGACCATCACACCCTCCCTCCTTGGGTAGGTACCGTTTGGGACCGGTGGCAGTTAACAAGACTGCCAACAGCCTGAGTGTGGTGCATACCTGACTCATCTCTGCAGCACCATCTTCTCTTGTGCGGCGCACAGTGCTCTGCCACATGTGCAGATGTTTGGATGGGTAGATAAACGATTTGATGCATGAATAACTGGATGAACATATGCGCGAATAAATCTGCAAGACAGCTACCTGGGTAATAAGAAATGAGAGATGAAACTGTCCCTTGTGGAACATTTTTTTCTCTATATAAAACAGACACAGTTGAAGACACAAGCCTCAGTCTGGATCAGGCTCTAACTAACTGAGCTATTCTGCCCAGAAAGACACATCATGGCATTGACTCAGCCTTTCTTGCGTGGGCCCATCACAGTGGTAATTATGGCCATACTACCCTTCTGGAGAACAGGCCTCTTGGAAAACAGGTGGCCGGAGATTTCCACTGACTTGTTCTTTTTTTTTTTTTTTTCTTTTCAGATTATCAAGGAGGTCCCTCCACCCCCTGCGGAGGAGAGTGAGGTAAGTGACCAGAGCGGGGTGCAGCCAGATGGAGAGGGTGGTAAGGTGGAGCAGAGAGCTGGCTGGGCTGGCCCAGGACTCAGGCCCCTGCAAAGCAGAGCTAAGTCAGGCCCAGGCTCCCACTGCGTCGGAGGGAGCAGGGAGGGAAGTCTTGGGTCCTTTCTGAATCAAGGATGAACAGGAACTGAACGGAACTGTGGTGGCCACAGACAGAATGGTTTGGGAGGGTTTTCTACCTGCAAAGATAAAATCTGAGATACAAACATAGATATTTTTATCCATACAATTTTCTCCTCTAACACAGACACTTTAGGTTTTTCTTTTCCCTGCAGAAAGGTACGCCTCATGTATGTAGATCAGGGCAAATTTGATACATTCTCCAAACAGTTAGTGATTCTATGAACAGCCTGATGCTGAGGTATTCCCTTTTTCTTTCATTGAAAACAATGTTTAAAGATTTAAAGATTTGCCAGGCAGTAATAAAAATATATTGGAGAGTGGGGAGTGGATATGCTAATATCCTGAACTTGCTCTCAAATCCTCATCATTTAAAGGAAAAGAAAACATCTTAGACTCCGCCATAAATTAACCAGTAGGCAGCTCTGGCGCAAGCATGGCCCGGGGTACAATCTGGTGGAGGCATTAAGGGCTGACGGTGAGAAGGAGCGTCCCCGGGCAGGCGCTCCCGGCCAGGAGTTGTCCTCCTCATCCTCTGATCGCTCCCAAAGCAACAGGCCTCCCTGGATCTATCACTCACCAATTTAGAAGCCAGGGTGCAAGTCTGAAAACTTAATGGGATCAAAAGATATAGGGGCGAAGATTCAAGTTCATTGCCCTCAACCCCTAAAGTCTATTGTGTGCAAACTGGGCACAGCCCCCTCACCCTTCCTCTTCCCAATGCCTTTGTCAAGTTTCCTGCACATGGAGAGAAGAATGATTGAATTTGACATTCCATGGGTCTGTTATATCCTGAACCATATGCTCGTAAGCCAAGGGATTTAACAGCTGCAATCAATTAAAGCACATATTATTGGAATGCAAATTTTCTGCCCAGAAATCAGGGGAGGAAATTACATTGCTTTGCAAAGAGGAGGGAGGAAGAAAAACCCTCTTTACATCCACCAAAGCCTTTTCTTAATCCTTCAAGAGAAAGCACTGCGGCGAGTTCCATGGGTTCCAGTTTGGCTGTGTTTCCCTTGTGTGCGGCTCTCTCATACTCCCAAAGGAAAATAAGGCAAGAAGCTGTCGCTTGATGAAGTTGCTCTGTTTGCCCTGAGGTGAAGAATGTTCCCTCCCTTCATTATGTTCAGTTAGAGGAGCTGTTGCCCTTTCTTCTGGTGCTGACACTGTTTGCCTTTGGAAGGTGACCTGGCAGCCATTGTGGTCAAAATACAGCAAGGGACTTAGGTACCAGACCGTGAGGTGTGATTTACCCAACACCCCCTAGTTTCATCCAATATTTCCAGAGAAGTCATACTTTCACCTGAAGAAGGCAGGCCTGGTTTCTGAAACAGAAGGACAATCTTGGGATACTTGAGATCTAAAGGGTTGTGTTAGACCTGAAGGGGTTTCCAGGGTTGTGTTAGACCTGAAGGGGTTTCCAGGCTGGCTGGGGCAGGCTGCAGGCGGCACTGATCACTTTGCATTTTTGTTGGCCCTGATAATTCCTTTGCCTTGTGGTTAAGCAGCCCAAATCTCCTTTCTAATGTTTCAGCAGAAAAAAATAAATAAATCCCACAGGAACAGATAACATAATTTAGCTCTACAAAGGATCTTACACAGTGCCCTGAAAATCATAGTCTGATTCTAGACTTCTAGAACCTTCTCCGCTCCAGCTTTCTGCATTCAAATCCCACCAGTCCTTCAGGCACAGCTCATGTGCTACTATCTCCACAAAACACACTGGAATTGCTCCCATCGGGACTAATTTCTCATTTTTCCCTTTTCCGCATTCCAGGGTATTTTACTGACCTTTACTTCTGCATCAAAATTTAAGACCATTAGCTACTTGAAGGTCAGGATCTATAGCTCACTAATCTTGGACTTATCCCCAAAGAGCTTAACACAGTGTCTAACACTCAATTAATGGCTCTACGAAGTCAAACGCTCTGCCATATATGTGAACAAGTTCAACATTAATTATCCAAACTTTAACCAGTTCTATAAGCATCATATCCTAAGGGAGACATATCTACTATTTAAATAGCTAAACTTAGAATGAACACAACTTTCTAACAAGCTCCTGGTGGTCCTCTTTAATAGGGAATATCGAAATGCATAATATAAAAAAGCATGACTTTCTGAGATTCCACGCAACCAACAGTGATCCTCCTGTATAAAGAGAAGACAAAGAAAAAAGACTTGAAATTGCGAGACCTCAGTGAAAGCAAGAAAGTTCAATTTTGACAACTAAGAGGGGTATTTCCTGAGTTGAGAGTCTTCTCTAATTGGCAGCAGAGTCAGGATTTCTCACAAAGTCTCTAGATACTCCAAATTATTGGCAGTTTAAGGGGGAATCCAATAATGTAGTACTTCATCTGATGGTTTAGTTCTACATCACCTTCCGTGGATTTTGTGACTATGTTTCTTTGGGAGGAAGAGGGATGCATACTGAAGACGTTGACAAGGGTGGGCATACAATTAACAATAAGCACCTGGCCTTGAATAATGAACTTATTTCCAGGTTCATTATCATGCTCACTCATCCTAACATTTCTCAGTGGCAAGAACTTTTTAGGTGGGAAAACCGAGCTATGGGAAAATCATATAACTTGTATAGGACCAGACAAGTTGAACTGCTTCACAGCTATGTCTCCAAGGACAGCCAGAGTCGCCCCCCACTCTGGAGGAGTGAAGAGCCAAGCGACTGCCAGGCATCTTCTTTACAGTGGACATCAAATACACACTCTCATGCGCGCTCGCGCGCGCACACACACACACACACACACACACACACATGCTCCAAGCAGTAGTCCTAGAACAGGCCCAGAATTCAGTACTCTGCATTTCAATAGGTTAAAAAAGGAACATCGCTACTAAAAAAGGAAATACACTATTCCTCATTGAAGAATACGGGACAATCATGGTGCTGTCCTTAATCATCGTGTGTGCATGTGAACAGATATGATACGGGGTCATGACATGTGAGATGCAACTCAGAATGGGGAAATCTTCGGTCAGCAGGGATTTCTGGTATTTACAAAGAGAAGTGTTGTTGGATTTTTCTGACTTGCCAATTCACTCCTAGGAATTCATCTCCAAGACTGACCTTGAGGGTGACCTCTCTGGCTTGTCCCCAAAGACCTCAGATGAGACAGTACGGCCAGTTCTGCTCTGGGCTCTGCCCTCCAGAGCCTTGGGGTCCCAGGAGTTTCAGTGGCCTCCGTCCTTTACTTATGTCGTCACCCTCACAAAACATACTCTTCTATAAATGTAGACAATCTTGGTGGCAGATTTATTCTTTTCACTCTATTTTTCTCAAAATCTAACACTGTGCTGGCAAGCCGTGGGGGCTCAGCTCCAGTTGCTTGAGTAAATGAAAGAATAGACAAATAAAGGGCCCTGTTTGTGGCTAGAGAGGGCTTCTCCTCAGGGTTGAAGATGGATTACCCTTCAACGAATGGTAATGGAACTGTTTCCTTGGGCTCCACTCTGCTTCAGTTACGTTCTCCTTTGCGTAAATAGTTGCAACTGGTGCCCACAGTGCAGTGAATTGGGGGTGGGCTGCCTAATTTGGCCCAGGAGAGAGCCTTGAATTCTGTGGGGGAATCGGAGAGTTCTTCATAGAATAGCTTACATTCCAGCGATATTCTAAAAGAAGCGTAGAAGCAGCAGAGGAAGGACGTTCTGAGCACACAGAGCCATGAGTGGTGAAGCATGGAGTTGTACAAAAGCCTGGCATGATTAGAAAGATGGCGAAATTCAGGGTCTGAGGGCGGCACAGGACAAACCCAGATATAGGCAAACCGAACATGTGTGTCAGGCTCGGTGTTCTGGAGCTCTCTCTTCCCGGAGCAGGGCTGCCTGAGGACCAGCCGCTCAGAAGGGGCGTCTACCATCTGAGTAATGTGCTGCCACTTGTTTTACCCACGCGTCAGCCAACTAGATGTCTGGGGCCACCACATCCTTTAGGATTTAAACATAACTTCCCCTGATGGGAAACCAGCATCCCTCCCTAATCTCTGCGGTTTCCCCAGACACCACTGACTCCTCCTTCTCGCTTCGGCCGTATCTCATCTTCTTCATCTGCCAAGCACCATCTTGCAAACCTGATTCCGACACTTCCCCTCGCCCCACCCCCCCCCCCACCGCCAAGGCACCACGGGCACAAGACCGTCTGCAAAGAGGTTTGAAAAGGTTTGAAAGTACAGGGGTGAGTCCCAGCACAGGCCACCACCCTTGTCATTCCTGCTCCTGGGAGGTGCCTGAGGTCCTCTTCACAGGTGGGCCCTGGGCAGCCTGCTGGCTGCTCACCTCCACTCTCTCGCGCCCGTCCTTTTCTGACTGCCCACAAACCCTCCGTCCCTACAACTTTGCTCACACGGAGCAATTTGGCTTATCCCGTCTGTCTTTTAATAATCGCAAAGGATCTGTGTCCTGGCAGTTCTTCCTTGCCACCCACCCACCCACATCCTTGAAGGGCAGTGTGATGGGGGCTCCCCAAGAGAGACTTTCTACTTCATTCGATGTAGAGAGATTTGCTTCAGGTGTTGCCGATGTTCTTAGTGGCATTGCTGGGGACTGTGATTTTACTCCATCAGTTTGGGGCCAAATGAAAAGACACATCAAAGATTCCCTTCTCTTCTGAAGATTGCAAAACCCTCCCATCTCTAGAATGTGTAAACAGAGCCATGGTAACTGCAGGGAAATTCTGACTCTCCCGCCGCCATGGGTCAAACCCTGGGCCTTTGTGTTGTCTTTGCTGTTGTTGTTTAAGTTTGGCAGGCAAGCTCGGGTCAGGGGATTACACGGCAGGCTTGGTGGAGCAGATCGAAGTCCTGGCATTTCCTGTTGTGGGAAGGCCAGCCCCTGCTGCACATCTCAGCAGAGTGGAGACCAGGGCCTGCAGCAAGTCCGCGGCGGGAGGGACCACATGAGGAAGGGCAGCTCCAGGGGCACATTGTGGGGAGACCCTGGACAAGGCATCAGGGAACAGGACCAGAGCTTCAACTCCACTGGTCCCTTCATTTCTTCGGATCTGACTGTGCAATGAAAAGGCTCCAGTAAATAGTCTCCAGTGTTTGTACTCCTGCTCTTTAAAAAAAAAAAAAAATTAGGAGACTCCTAAGACCATTTCCGTTCCCTGTTGAATAAATCGACTTTAGTCTTGGAGTTTCTTATGTTCTTAGTGCTGCTGTATTCAGTTTGGGGTGATATAATTTCATTTCTCTCCTTTGGAAAACTGCACAAGACCAGCCATGAAGCCATATTTTATATATGACACACAGACACCCACCTCTAGGGATAGTTTAACCGTATGTGTAAGATATCTAAGGCTCTTGGTTTAACATCCTAAGCTTTCTGAAATTCTCTCCTAAGGTAAAGTAGTGTGAACTGATATTGGGGGCTCTTTGGTTTTATTATTTTATCATGTCTTACGGTCCTAAAGCCTCCAAATGTGCAGGTACAAGGGGGGAGAAGCAGAAAAGTAGCATTTATCTGATACCGTCAAATGACTGGAAAAGCAAAACCCAAAGGACAAAACCCAGAACTTTGCCGACACTGAGAAACAAACGAGAGTGAGGTTCCCCGGGCTCTACCACCCACGAGCGGGGTGACCTGAGTCACCGAATCGCTCTATGCCTCCTCCGTAAAACGAACACTATAGCACCACCTACCGAGCTGCCCGCTGTGAGATTGAAAGGTTATTGCACGTAAAGCACTTGGAAGAGTGACTGGCACATGCGTGGCAAAGGCTTCATAAATTCAGCTGTGGTTATCGCAAACTCGGTACCTGCTTATTGCCCACCTCCTGTGCGCCAGGCTCCGTACAAGACCTAGAATACAAGGGCAACAGAATCCACCTTGCATTCAGGGCTCACAGACCCATGGTGAAGAAGGACAGATCTGTTTTAAAAAGAGAGACCAACCCAAGTATCAGCTGCCAAGATGTTGCAAATCCCCTGGTCTGCCGTGATCATGTCCTTTAAGATATATAAAAAATTTTCAAATTTTTTAAAACAAAGTCTGCCCATCCCAAGCGCAGTAAGTTACCCAGAGAGTTTTAATGCATTAATGTGTTACTGCTTTGCTTTGTCATCTCTGGATCTCTGTCCTGCTGATGATTTGTCTTCGTTTGGTTCCTTGCCTCCTGCATGGGATGCCCCTTTCCACCTAGGACTCCACCAGGCTCCACCTAGGATACAACTCGGAGTCCTTGACTCTCTGATATCACCAACCTAGGCTGTGGGAAGCAGGCTTGTTCTGAACAATTTCAGCCTCTTTGGCTTATTCTTCTGCTTTGCAGAGACTCCTTTTTCAGCTTCCTTTCTCCGCCCGGGAAGGAAATCATGCCACTAGCCTGTGGCTGTAACCCATCTGTGCATGACTGTAGATGGTGATATTTTTCTCCCCTCAACAGGAGTAATTTCGGTACCAAGATAAGGAACAGTGTTGCTAATTATCCTTCCCTTTTTCATCCATAAAGTTCCAAGTTCCTTTTCTCCCTTCATCTTAAAAAATATAATAAGCACTAACTTCCGGTCACTGAGCTAAACTGCAGACACTGAGTTAACTGGTTTATTTGAATCATTTCATCTCACTTGGTTATAAATTCAAAAGACAATTCTTAGGTACCTCCCACATGCTAGGTGCCATTCAAAAAGCTGCAAATGCAATGGTGAACATGACAAATAAACAGGAGCTTCCATGGAACTCTTACATTCCAGCCTGGAGAGACCAATAGTAAATAAATATCAAGCCATGTTAGGACCCATTATGTAAAATGAAACAGATTGATGGGATGAAAAGACTGGACCTACTTTAGAGAGATATCCAGGGAAGGCCTCTCCAGGAGTCACGGGAAGGTGGCAGCCAGGAGAAGAGCAGGGCGGAAGCATCCCTGGGCAAGCGGACAGCTTGTGCACAGGCCTCAAGACAGGAATGTGCTCAGTCTCTGAGGGACAGGGAGAGGGCAAGCAGGCTGGAGCGCAGGGAGGCGGGGCGTGGTAAGGAAGAAGGCTGGAGAGGTGAGCTAAGGCCAGAGTTTGCAGGGCAGAGCTGGGGTCGGGATTCTCCTCTGCTGCTCTGTGGAGAACAGACTGTGGGCGAGGAGCGCGGCAGGGAGGCCGGCTAGGTGCCTGGAGAAAGTGTAGGGGACTTGGGACCAGTGGGGTGGGGTAGGGGTGGAGGTGGAGGTGGAGAAGTCACAGATTTGAGGTCTTTTAGAAGTAAGGTCAACAGAATTTGCTGGCAAACTGAGATGAGTTGGGAGAGGGACAGTGGGAGAGAGAAAGGATTCAAGAGTGGCTCCAGGCAGTGGGGAAGACTAGAGGAGGGGCACGCTTAAGGTGAGGCTGTGGGGAGACTTCTCTTTGATGTGGTAGTCTTGAGATGGTTATTAGTCCCCTGAGAGGAGACCAAATTTCAAGACAACATTTGGGTTCAGAGGAGTCAGGGATGAAGATATAAACACACATGTCATCAGCACGTAGATGGGATTAGATGAAATACCCTCTGAAGGAGTAGAGATGCGCAAGGGAACAGGTCCCAGGATTGTGCCAGCATTGAACCAGGTCGTTCTGCTTTTACCCCCACTTTACAGATAAGGAAGATAAGCTCAGATGGGTTAACTGACTTGCCCCAAGGAAGGTCCCAGAGTTCAGCCCAGGCAGTCGACTCTCATCCACTTTGCCAAGGTGGACACATGTACCTAGAGCAGTTGTGCTTTGCTTCCTTCATGTATGACAATCTTTCTGCAGGAAGAAGATGATGATGGTCTGCCCAAGAAAAAGTGGCCTACCGTAGATGCCTCTTACTATGGTGGGCGAGGCGTTGGAGGCATTAAAAGGATGGAGGTAAGAACACAGCTTCATGTACTCACATCTATGTGCCAACTACTCTGTGCTGGAAAACCAGATAAAACTGGTGAAAACTCATACGTGAGGCCTGATGGGGGTGTGGACGGAGAGATGGCAGGTATACCCCTTTAATGGTGCACCCCCATATCTTGCCCACCATTGAGTCAAAATAGTTTGCTCATCTGCTCAAACCCCTCGGTGGTTTCTGCTCTCACTGGAATAAAATCCAAAGTTCTTACGTGGGCCTGTGGGGCCTTTGCACATGCTGTCCCCACAGCCTGGACAGTTCCTCCCCTAAACATCCATCTGCCCAGCTTGCTCTCTCTGCCCCTTCAACCTTTCCTCTTTCCTTTTTCCACACCCTCCTCTTCCCTGGCCCAAAGGAATTGGGGAGCGGGTAGCACTTGCATTGGACGTCACCCATGTGTGTACGAAGCCTATTCTCCAGGGACGTTATACTTCATTTTGTCATTTTATTTTATCATATGTTACTTATTTTAGGTTCGTTGGGGAGAAAAGGGTTCCACAGAAGAAGGTGCTAAGTTGGAAAAGGCAAAGAATGCCAGAGTCAAGATGCCGGAGCAGGAATACGAATTCCCCGAGCCTCGAAATCTCAACAACAACATGCGGCGGCCCTCTTCCCCTCGGAAGTGGTACTCCCCAATCAAGGTGTGTCTCTCTCTACTCAGAAATCCATCATCACTCCTGCTAAGACACTTACATAGGAAGAATCAGACTCTTGACATGACAAAATATCCAACCAAATTCCAGATTATCACAAAGGAACACATTTCTAAAATCATGGACTTAAAAGTACAGGCACTTACTTGCTCTATTTCGACAGTATCAAAGTTGAGACTAGGGTTTTTTTAAATCACCGTGGCAAACTAGTGGAATGCAAATGGACTAGGAGTCAAGAGACTGGGGTAGTAACCCCAGAAGATGACTATAAATTTCTATAATAGCTCACGACTTCATTGGTAGGCAGTTCCACTATCTAACAAAAATGGCAGCATTCTCCTTGATGCCTTATCTCTCTTCCTCTTGCCGTAACACAAGCCCATTCCTCTTTATCCAGCGCTCCTGCCAGCCTTTCAGGGGTTGGCCCTGGAGCGAGGACTCACTCTTCCTGGCTGCGAGCAAAACCCCTTTTTTCCTCCACTATCTTTCTTCCCCTCCACAGCTCCAGAACATAAACCTCTTTGGTTTCTTAGGAAGTGTAAGCCATAGAAGGTAGTTAATGCTTCCTGAAGGCTTCTCTTCTCTTCCTCTTGTTCTTCCGCAAACAGAAACTGGGCCAATTCCAAGGCCGCAAAGTGCAAGATCCCGGGTGAAGAGCCAGGTCTCATCACATACATGCACGCATGCACCCACACAGCCTTACCCCTCTTCCAATGAAAGCAAAAATAATACTCATCATTCACTAAGTTATTTGCTCATCTTAAAGCAGCCCTTGTCCTATGAAATCAATAGAAATAACCATTTTAAACAATGGAGTGAAATGTCATTGGTAGTTGTCTCTTCTCAGCCAAGCTAGCTCATGCTCACATTAACGGCACTATATTTTCATTTTGGTTTGCTGTGCTTAAAGCAAGGAGATTCTTTTTCAAGATAAGTCCCCCCCCACCCCGCCCCCTCGGGGCAATAGCTTGAACTCTGGAAAGATGTGGGCGAAACGTAACTTGCTTGCCTAACAGCTGTTTGCTTCTAATTATTTTCTCATGCAGAACATGCAATGGCGTGCATGCGTGTGCAGACAGGAAGGAGCCAAGCAGAGTCTCCGAGATGAACAAGAAAGGGAATTTTCTATTATGTCGTTTTTAGGAATCTGTACCTTGTGACTAACATGACATACTTGGTTATAGCCAGATTTTCATTTCTGTAATCTTGGATTTGGAAAGAACGCTAATTCTGTTTGAAGAATCCAATTTCTGCTCGAGAGCATGTCATTCCTCTGCTAACTGGTGGTTTAGGACTGAGATTTATGAAATAAATAGGGATAGAGAACGACTAGATTTAGAAATATAAAAACATTCCCAACACCCACTTGGAATTAGTTCAGTTCAACAAGTCATGCTGGGTACTGCCAGATACTAAGCATACAGAGGTTCTCAAACCTGGGTAAGTATCAGAGTTACCCTGAGAGCTTTAAAAATACAGATTCCCAGGCCTAATGACTTAGCATCTCACGAAGGCTTTCAAAGGCACACAGGCCATCACCACTTGCTCACTTTTTCTCATCCAGTGAAACTCCTCCCCCCTCCACCCATGCCTCCTTTTGACATCCAAACTCCCTAAGCCATACCCCTCTGTTGCCCCCAATTATCTTCCCTCCACCGCCCCTGCTCTTGGGCCTCCTCCTTAGTCATTGTGTTCACCTGCTGGTTCTCATAGTGCAGTCCCTGGACCCGCAGCAGCAACATCCCCCAGGAACTTTCTGGAAATGCACATTCTCAGGCCCAACCCAGATCTAACTAAATCAACGACTTTGGGAGTGGGGCCCAGCAATCTGGGATTGAACAAGCCCGGCTAAGAAATTGTCACCGAAGGTTCCAGCCGGCCTTCCATACGAGGCTCCCTGAGGGCAGGAACCTTGGCACTTGGCTAAGAGCCATGACCACAACTCAGCGATTTGTCGGAAGTCTCAGCCTCCAGTCTGCCTCCTGCTGGTGGGGCAGCTCAAGCGAACGCCTGCTCAGCTCACTCTGTACGATAGCCCGCTGGTGTGATTGCACATGCTTGAGTCTTCCCCCCACCAGATTGGACCCCTGGAGGCACCGGTTGTGCTTAGCTCATCTTTAGCCTGTGCTAGACAGCCCGGTGCCTGGCCCAGCACAGGGACTCCAGCATCTCTTGTTAAAGAGCTGACACATAGGATTAATTATTAATGCTGCTGGTTAGACTATCTCCTGTGACACACACAGATCACTTTGGCACCGTCAGGCTGAAGAAGGTGACATTCTTCTTGCCATCTCCTTGAGGAGAGGAGAGAAAAAGAGGTCATCTTGTGTGTTTCCTGGCCAGGTGGTTGAGGGAGGGGCAGGAACAAGGAGGTTTCAGAACAGAAGCCCAGAAAGGAATTCAAAAGTAAAATTGTCTGTCTCTCCAGAAGAAGGGCAGACTTGCTACCAGAACTTCCGCGTTCATACTGTTGAACCAGTTTCGTGCTCCATGATGAGCCCCATCTTAGCCACAGCACCTGTAGACATCACTGGGCCTTGGAAAGACATTTAGCCTCATGTAGTACCATAAACTCTGCTTCCCTTTCCTGAGCCCTCTCGCTGGATTTGTCTTGGTCTTGGTGGGAAACAGAAGCACACTCAAGAGGACTGAGCTTTTGGCGAGGGCAGAGTTAAGGGAACTCACAGAGATGGCCAGGCATACGGGGACTAGCAACAGTGGGAGCAGGTGCACTCCGGGGCCTAAAGAACACGGAGGAGAGACGGTGTCATTGGAGCCGGTGGCCAGAAGGGGCCACCCACTGGGAGCTGTGGCCATAGAGAGGGAATCAGCAATCTAAATCTGCCCGACCACCTGTTTTTATATGGCCCACAAACTAAGAGTGGTTTTCCTTGTTTTTAAATGGTTATGTAAGTTCTTATATAATATCCTAGAGTTTGTCTCTTGAGCTAGAAAGCCTAGAATATTTGCTCTTTGGCCCTTTATGGAAAGTGTTTGCAGATCCCTATCGTATAAGAACACAGCCACTGAAGAAGGCAGGGGGTCAGGGAAGGAACAGAAGGAAAGAATGCCCCCACCTCTCCCTCACCCTGCCCTCCTCTCCGGTACCACCTACTAGCCAAACTGAAGGGAAACCAGATGGTGTTATCTGTAGAGGTCAGGCTTCTGGGGCATAGAGCTGGGAAGGTAGAGAAAGGCAGAGAGAGGGTGGGGGGCAGGCAGCTCAAGGAGAGTGACCAGTCTACTCTCTGCCCCCACTATCAATAGGGACAATACTCCCACCTAGTGCAAAACTTTCAAGAGACACTGGGAAGACTCTTAGTTCCCCCAGTGAAAGTAGCCAGAATCATATACATCTTTAAATGTATTGCATTTGACTCACTCTTTTCATCATCTTATGAAATAGATATGAGGAGCAGAGAAGCAGGTGAGTGCTTTTGCTGTGTAAACCCAGTGGGGACTCGTCAAGAGAAGAAGTCCACAATGGGCTTCTCTCCACCATTCCACAGTCTAATTTAGGGCACTGACCACAGCAGCCACACTTCACCCTTTCCTCATTCCAGGTTCATGACCAGGAAATTTTCTGATATTTGGCCTTAATTTGCCTTTGCTCAGCTTTCACCCCGTGGATTGACAGCACCCCATGCTTCTCATTAAATTGGGACTGACCATTTCAGACAAGTTAAGTAATGCCCAGATAGATGGCCTCCAGATAGATTAAAACCAGGATAGTTTCAGGTTTGCTGGAAGGCTTGCAGCCTTTAGAGAAACCATTTTCTCCCTTTCCAGTAGCTCCTCCACATGACTGGAAATGACAGAAATGATAGCCAAAGGACAAAAGCCAGACCCTGGATGGCCAGGCAGACCGGCTGTTCTTTGCAAGAGAGCCAGACCATGAAGGGGCCAAGTCAGCCCATACTACTTGCAGGGCCTGGCAGGGGGTGGTCTTCTGTTCTGTTCATTTTCTGTCAGGGCAGCCTTCATCCCTGGCCTAAGGCACCTTGACCTTGTAATCAAGCAGCATTTAGTCATGAGACTGTACTGGATGGAGCTGTATGTAGCCCAGGAAGACACACTGAAGCCTAAGTGTTGTCAGATGGCCTGCTGATGTTGAACAGACTTTTTTTGTCCCTCTCTGGCAACTTTTTATAATAGCTCCACACTTTTTTTTTTTTAATTGATGACACTAGTTTATTTCCCTCTTAAAAGACCAACTGCAACCAAATGAAGTGAATATAACCTCAAGATTTTATTGTCTTCATAATATTCACAAAATATAAAGCTTAGAACTGGATCACTTGGCCCTTTCTCTTCTTATCTCCTCCCAGTTCAAACTGCTTGCATCTCTTAATAGCCAGCATTCTCTTAGATCTGCAGTTGGGCTCAACATATTCAAGCCTCAGCACAATCTTCTTTGTAGTTTTAGCCTTTTTCCGGAAAATCGGCTTAGTCTGCCCACCATAGCCACTCTGCTTCCTGTCATAACGCCGCTTTCCTTGGGCATAAAGGGAACCTTTGCCCTCCTTGCACTGTGTCACTGTGGGGCTGGTGCATGGCACACTTCTTGCAGAAAGTCTGGCGGGTTTAGGAACATTCACCATGTTTGCAAGAGCACTATCGGCACAGAAAGAAAGAGGCCGGGCTCCAAACTTTTTTTAAACAATGACCAAAACTCAAAAACAGCAAAGCAAAAAGTATCCTTTGTGAGTGTGTGCGAGTGTGTGTGTGTGTGTGTGTGTGTGTGTGTGAGAGAGAGAGAGAGAGAGAGTGTGTGTTTCCAACATTATTCATTCATTTATTTCATTTGAGGAGAAGCATGGGTCACAATATTTACCATATATTTTAAGGTGTAAAAATTCCAGTGTTAGTCTGTAACAGCCCTATCGTTGGACTACCCTCAAAATTCTCAACCTCTGACTAACTTCCAAGCAGCTAAGGCAGACAAACCAAAAGAGAAGACACAGCTGTTGCCTGGCCAAAATTTTAAAAAGGAGAGAAAAGGAAGCTCAGCCACAAACCCCAGGCACCAGGATGCTTTGAATGAGGGTCGCATAAACATTCCCGGCCCTGTCTTCTTGTTTAGGAAGAAACAAAAACTAAAGTTGACATAGAGCTCCCAGTTTGCATGCCTTTGTGGATTCGAAGTTTGTCTGAGCCTGAGGTATAGTTTGGGAGGTTGGAATTGGTAAATTTCTCATTTTACAGTCAAGATGTGTCAACTTCCTATGAAAGAAAGCTATACTTAAATGTCAGCTCATATATTCTGACAGAGGGTCCTGAGGGTAATGGGAAGATCTCTGTTTCAGCTTCCCAGCAGCAGTTGGGTGTTTCTTCTGGGGAGGGACCAGTGTCTTGAAATGTATCCTATGGACAGGCCTGTGTATGATTGACACCCAAATCCGAGGTAAACAGTGGAGTCAACTCAAAGGCCCCTTCCTCCCCAGACTTTGGGTAAAGCCCAGGGACTGGTTGGAAAAAATCCCCTGAGGCCTTTCACGCCCCAAAGGGATATTATTAATAACCTCATTAGCTGCTGTCTTGAAATGACAGGCTTCTGCCCGCATTCAGAAAAAGAAAGGCTCCAACAGCCTTTGTTAAGCCCTTCTCCTTGACCTCGGAGAGTAATTTTTTTATCCTCTTCTTGTTTATAAACACACTTACTCTAAACTTACTCTAGCTCTTGCATAAAAGCTACCTGCTGTGGGAGAAGAACAAGGTGTTAGAAGTGTCATTTACCCAGATTGTTTCCTATGCCCCAGAGGTGGGACTTTGGGCTCATCTGTGGGACCACCAGCACTCAGAACCCAGGGAGTATGACTAAGACTAACTAACTAGTCTCACCTTGGCCAGAGGAGCCCAAGGACAGCAACTCACCCAGATGAAGCCCTCCCCTGGGTGAGACACATACCGTGAGTCGGTCCCAATTCCAAAGGCTTTCCATGCACTCGCTCCTTTATTTCTCACATCAACCCTCAAAAGTAGAAATTCCTACTACTCCCATTTACAGAGGGAAAAACTAAGGCACAGAGAGGTTAGGTAACTTGCCTAAATTCATACTGCTAGTAAGATGTTTCTTGGTTTATTTTATTAACGGCAAAGCATCCATTCGAGCTAGCAATGAAACCCGCTATTAATCAAACAGGAGAGAGGACTGAGAGCCCGGAGGTAAAAGACCAATCAGGAAACTGTTCACAGGATGAGTGACAGATGACGAGGGCCTGGGCCAAGGGAGTAGCCATGGAGACTGTGGGGCAGAGTGGACAGGAAGCAGTGACAGGAAAGCTGTGACGGAATGTTCACGGGACACGGTTCAAGTTGGATAGGAGGAGTTGGCCGAGGGAGAGGATGTGACAATGATTCTCTGGTGTCCGGCTTGCCCAGGGAGATATCGGAGGTGCCAGGAACCAAGCAGGGTATGCAAAAGGGGGCGCAGGTTGGGGAAAGATCGTTCCGTGCTACATCTGCGTTACAACTAAGATCTGGTAGGTAATTGGATCTGGAATTCAAGAGCGGACTAAGCTGAAGGTAGAATTTGTGAGCCATCAGCAGACAGACAGAAGCTGACCCCAGAGACTTGGTGAGAGCCCCCCCAAGTGGAAACACTCAGCCTGAAGGAGAGGCTGGGCGAGAGCTGAGGGGAGCACCAGGTAGAGGCTGAAAAGGACTAAGCCGAGAGGTAGGAAGGAGCACTGAGGCCAAAGGAGAGTGTGCAGAAGGGAGAGACGTAGTGCATCAGATCTCAGAATCGAGTAAAATGAGGCCCAGCAGTGGCCAAGGCATTTGGCGCTTGGGATCCGTGGGTGGTCTGAGCAGGTGGAGCTTTAGTGGAGTGTTGCGGCCACCAAACATTGCCAGAGAGGCCAGACGATGGCGGGCTGGAGGGTGATGAGAAGTGTGGCCCGAAGGAAGGAGGGAAGAGGGTGGAGGAGCACAGAATGGAGGACTGGTAAAGTTCACATTATTGGATTCTTACACTCTGTATTACGTTCTTTTATGTCTTTCTACAGAGCCTCCCAGATGATCATTTTAACGACTTTCCCATGACCATAGATAACATTTAATGAATACTTTCTATGAGACGAGTATCTATTCCAATATCTAACTGTAAGCCTTGTAACAAGTCTATAGGGTAGATTGTACCATTGTGGTCCATTTTAAAGATGAGGCTTAGGGAGACGAACCAGCTTGCCTGAGGCCGCAGACCTGGGAGGGGCAGACCCAGAATACAAACTCAGGCTGTCTGAATTGTCCCTTTGTGCTTAAGTATCACACTAGGACCCACTGCCACCAGAAAACCTGACTTACTACCAATTCTCGTGGTATGACACATCTAGGTGGTCTCTGGTCTTTTGCTCTGTGTTTAGCTTTAGCTTTAAGTTTCTGCAAATATTCTTCCAGCCCCGTCTTATTGCTCCTTGTGTGTGAAGCAGTTGAGTGATTAGCACACAGAACGCTGTGGGTGGGCTGATTTGCAAAGACAAATACTGGGCGTCCCCCAAAATAGGGAAAGAAAAGAGGCATTCGTCCAGGAAACCCACCTGGTTTTATCCTGAAATATAAATGCTTATCCCAAGGAACCTTAAAGGGAAACATTTAACTGATGATTGAAATGGTTTAATGCAGAAAACCATGCTGAACACAGCAGCAGTCCCATCCAGCTTTCTAAAGTCATTTCAGAATATTTTTAGAGGCTTCCGTAAATACCTTGCCAAAAGAGATGAGAAACATGACACTTAGCAAGACAGAATTTAACCCACAAGAACTTGAGCAAGCTTTGATAGAGGTTCAAGAGCAGATTTTTTTTTTTTTGTATTTGAATATAACCCACCAGAAAACAATGTCAGAACATGAAGTCTTCAGGATGATATTCTTAAATTGGTGTTTCCGCTATAAAAGCTTTGTGTCAAGCAACTTGAAGGGCTCTGGACTTCCCCAGCCTTTCAGAACCATCCTGTAGAGACCTCTTCCAGCTGACAGCCTTCAAACATGCCTCACCGAGACCCCAGTAGGAAGTACAGTTTGGCCCAGTATATACCTATGTGTGCATTGTGTGCGCACAAAAACACCCACCGGTATACACACCCAGACACATTTAACTGATACGAATTTGTCACAAAACAATAGTTATCTTCACCATGTGCAGGTGACTCAAGTATTTTCTTTCCTCTTCTATTTTATTTCTTAAACTTTCTGGTCCTAATACACAAAATTGTTTCATGAGGGCTTGAAGAGTTGCAACCAAGGGTTTAGAAACCCTATTCTAAAAGATCTAAGTTCAAGTACTCCAGCCAGAAGGCATGCATGAGGAAGAATCTACAGTTGGTATAATATAAAGTATATGAGCTTTGGAATTACACAGCCATGGGGTCCAATCACACCTCTCCAATTTACAAGCTGTGTGCCTAGGCAAATTAGTTGTTAGTCTGACCTTCTGTTTCCTCTCCATAATCCTTTTGGACTTTGGCAGAAGACCCCTTTGAAAGCACCCAGCCCAGCAATTAGAAGCACGGAATTCATTTGTTCATCCAACTAATATTTACTGAGCCCGAGATGCTCCCCTAGGGCTGGGCAGACAGCAGTTGACAAACCCAGCGACACTGCTGCTTTCATGGAGTTGACATTCCGATTGGCAGAGACAGACAATAGGCAAATAAACACAGACTATGTCAGGGATTAATAAGGGCTCTATCAGTTTCCTATTGCTGCTGTAACAAGCTACCACTAACTTAGTGACTTAACACAAACGTATTACTTTACAGTTCTGGAGGTCAGAAACCCAAAATCGGTCTCACTGGGTGGGCTAAAATCAAGGCAAGGCCAGGGCTGCATCTCTTTTGGAGGCTCTAGGAGAGAATCCATCTCTTTGTCTTTTCGAGAGTCTAGAGGCTGCCCACACTCATTGGTTTCTGGCCCCCTTCCCTCTCCAAAGCAACCGTGAGGTGAACCTTTCTCACAGGTATCACTCTGACTCTCCATCTGTTGACACAACTTCTCTGACGCTGACCCTCCTGCTCTATTAAGGATCCACATGGTTACACTGGGTCCACCTGTATAATCCAGGATAATCTCCCCATCTCAAGATCCTTAACTTAATCACATTTGCCAAGTCCTTTCTGCCCTGGAAGGTAATATATTAAGGGTTAATAGAGCAAAGCTAAATAAATGTCATTATTTCCTTTTAGTATTTGCAGCAGGGGAAATCAGCCTCATTCAGCACGGCTAGGGAACGAGAATGGCCAGAGGCAGTAGACTCCCTTCATCACACACTGAAAACTTCAGCACTCACAGACCCACTCTTCTCAGATTCAAGCCATTACCTACACCTCCAAAGGGGTTGTGATTTGGGGCAATGTGGGATGTTTGGTCAGCTGTCTCTCGAGCCTGGGATCCCTGAGCAAGTCATAGGTGCTGAGTGAGCCTAGGGGACAACCAGGGATCGGCATCCCCGGGGCCTTTTATTGATCTTGCTCCACTGACAATTCTGTATAGTAATTTTCCTGAATTTGTCATCATTGCTTCATTTGTGAACTCTGGGCATTAAGTGGGCAGAAGAAACTTCAGTGAAAGTTGAAAAGTTAGACTTGTGGTGTGAGGATATGCCCAGAAATGTGGTAAAAGCAAAAGTTGAGAGCCTAAATGAGCTTTTCTGTGTTTGCAAATTTGGGGCTGCCCCCAAGTCTCAGGTGTATGTACCCCACATGAGCATCAGAGCCTTCTGTTATGGGTCTCTTCTCCTCCTACGTTCCTGCAGGGCCTGGAGAGTCACTTAGCCTGTTACAACTACATTGCCGGTGGTATGTTGTTCACATGACTGAAGAAGCACGGAAAGTTCTACATGTCTGTGCTAGCCACTGCTCTGGTTCCATTTGTAATCTTGGTGCATTTGTTTTTGTTTTTGTCTTTTTCAGGGAAAACTGGATGCCTTGTGGGTCTTACTAAGGAAAGGATATGATCGTGTGTCTGTGATGCGTCCACAGCCAGGAGACACGGTAGGATTCATTAATGGTGTCACACACACATTGTTCTTCTCTCTCCCTCTGACTTCGTTGAACTGGAATAACTCCAAATATATCCAGCTGTTATTTTATTTTGTGATAAATCAGATAGTAATTTTTAAAAATTCTAGTTTCCATAAGACCTCGAGTGTTGACCTGTTTTTTCTAGAAAGGATCTTGACAGAAATAAGTTGAGTTAAACTTCCTAGGACTTGAGCTTCTTAATTTATAGGTACAGTGAGTGAAAGAGGCCTAGGCTGTGCCAAGAGAGAGGTCTGCTGCTCCCCAGCGGCAGTGGCCAGTGATGACCAACAAGATGCCAGAGCCACAAGATGGGGTGAGGAAATGGGGGCCACAGAAAACTCCCACCATCTTCCAGCAGGTATTGGGCCCAGTTGGTCCAAAACCTCAGGAGGGCCTTCTGCCCTGGTGAGGATTTGCCCCAAAATGGTCAGGGCCAGGCTTGGAGTGTCTCCAACTAAGAGGACGCAGAAACGGAAGAGCCAGCAGAGACCCTTAGAAACCGTCTGGCCCATCTTCATTGTATCAGTGAGAAAATGGAGGACAAGAGAAGCTGAGTAACTTGTTTTGTTCACATAGTAACAATGCTCGAAACAACTCCAGTTCTGCCGAAATCACACTATTGCTGTCTTCTTGTAAGAACTTGTCCCTCGTCCCTAGATTTTATAACAAAGCTTGGGACCAAATTCTCCCTCAACTATCAGCAAACTACATCTTCCATCCACTTCTCTGGGAATCAGACACATTAACCCAAAAGCAAAATAAAGGTGTCTGACTTGGAACTCCTTTCAGATTAGGTAAAGAACTTCCTTCTTGGTGGGAAAACTCCAGGCAAGTTACTTAGCCTCTCTGAACTTCATCTTTATAAAGTAGATGATACTTTGGCTGGTTGGAGAAGGTATTGTTTGTAAAGAATTTGGTCCAGTGGTGAACACATAGTATGCTCTATCAATGGCAAATATAACTGTGATTATTTACTTTGTGTTTTTCTACTATCTGCGAAGGGCTGATGCAGAAATTCAAAGCATATTGCAATTGATGTGTATCAGGGACCCACTTGCTTACCCTGCTCACTCTTTGACACGGCACAACTCATAAAACAGAAGAGCACAGCCTATTAGGCCCCTCTTCCTACGCACCTGGTGACAATGGGTGGTTTGTGGGTGAGGGGGTTTGGTCTAAAGTTTCATAGCAGGGGCAATTAGCTGTTCCTGGTTGTGGCAGGGACAGCAGGCAAGTATGATGTGAAAGAAACCAGGTCATATAAATGCGGAGCTGACTTGGCTCTCATGGCATATGGAATTCGTAGTTTAGCTGTGAAAGTCCATAAGAACACACTGTGATGGCAAATGTTAAAGTACAAACTCCACAGTTAACAGAAATGAGCCTAGGCCGTAAACTTTGTAAACTCGGGGTGGTATTTGGCCTTGTTAATTATACATCTGTTTTCCATGGGAAATGAAGTTTTTCTAGCATGCACTGAGACTCAGCTAACAGATTAAGAAAAAAAAACAATAAGATACCTAAACTCAGGTTCAGCAGTACTATTTTTTGCGACAGAATATGCTGGTCTTGACAAGCCCGTTTTCTGCAGAGCACCTGAGAAACATCTCTGCTGAGATTTATTAACATTCCATCCCCCACTGACCGGTTTGGCAGAAACAAATTCATAAGCTGAGTCAACCTGAGAAGTCGTAGGCAATAGTGTCATGGATAAGATACAAGATCCAACACTGTTTGGCATGAAAAGGCCAAAGGGATAAATCCAACAACAATGGAATGCAAACTGATGGAATGTCCTCTAATGAATCACACCTAGACTGAACCTCCTAGTTGCGAATTTTGAATGGAAGTTTGCATTAACATTTGAAGATGTGCTCTACTCTTCTGAGAAACACAGTACCACCTTGAAGTTTCGTTCTCCGATCACACAAAATAATAGATTGGAAGTACAGAAGGTCTAAGAGTTAGGATACATTTGACCATATTCTCAGCGATGTCCCAAATGGATTATTGTCCCGCCTACTTTTAAATGGGCTTCCTTTGTAGAAATCCTGATAAAATTTTAAGACACACGGGAGAAACAGATGCCAAGAATTGTGTCCTTATAGTCATGACCATGGCCCCAGACATCTTGATGTACACATGGATTACATGAGAAAGGCCAGAGAAGAGGTAGGAAGGGCACTTCACAGCTGCCTTGTGGCAACTCAGGAAAAGAGTTCCAGGGGAGGGAGGACATGTTTGTCTACATGCTTATTCTTTTTTGTTTTTGCATAACTTCAGGAGACTCGCTACAAATCTGCATCACTTACCCGGTGATGACTCTGTCAGAATTCCTTAGCACTGATTTATGGGGCTGACCACATTTTCCATAAACTCAAAATGACTACATCCAGGCATGTGCTCGTGAACAAGAGTCACAGGTTCTGGATTTTTCCTTTAAAACAAAAACAAAAACAAAAATCACCTAATTACATTCTCTGTTGCATTCTGAATTGTTTCAAACACATGTTGATCTCACAGAAACCTGGCGGTTCTTCCTTCTCTGTTCCTGTCTGCCCCATTCTCCCCACAGTTAACCCACCCCAGCCCTGCAGATGCAGACAGGGGCCCACCAACAGAGCCTTTGAGGCTGCCTGCCCAAAGGGCTGAGTGCCTCCAGCCTCCACCGCAGAGTTGAGGAGCCTGCAGAGGCCCAAGCCCAGAGCCACACCCTTCCCTGGGACTGGCGCCCACCACCTCAGAGCTGTCCAAGCCCCAGGTCAGGGAAAACATGAATGGGACCACAGCAGGAGACCTGAGCTTCCAGTCTGCCACCACCCCGGGCTGGGCTCACAGTCCTATTGTTCGCTGGTACCCACCAGGAAAGCCCTGGGCCAATATATAAGAGAAAATGCCAGAAGAAACCACTTAAGTAGCAAACGAGCAACATATCTGATCCTAAAATATAAAAGAGTTCACTAAGCATATGATACCCTTTGCTGAAACCATTCCCCTGCCTCCAATATACAGCTATGCTCTGCTTTTTCTAAAACACATATCTCAGCGTGACACTCTGAGGCTTCAGATTTGCAAAGACCGGAAAAAAGCCCCCCAAAATAGCTTGATTTAGAAAGAACCCCCTAATTTTAAACACAGGGATATATGGGAACTTCAGAGATCAGGGTTCATGGAATCCAGTGGTTTTCAATCCGGTTGCACATTGTGATCACCTGGGGAGGTTTAAAACACGGGGGGTAGGGGGGCATCTGGCAGCTCAGTTGATTGAGCATCCAACTCTTGGTTTGGGCTCAGGACATGATCTCAGGGTGGTGGGATTGAGCCCTGCAGCGGGCTCCATGCTCAGTGGGGACTTTGCTGAAGATTCTCTCCCTCTCTCTCTCCCTGTCCCTCTCCCCACCTGCACTCACTCTCTCTGTGCAAAATAAATAAATAAATCTTAAAAAAAACAAAAAAACAAAAAAACACTGACCCCAGGATCCCACCCCAAAGGTTCTATTTCATTGATCTGGGATGAGGTCTTGACACTGGGATTTTAGAAACTCCCCCCAAGTGGGGCGCCTGGGTGGCTCAGTCGTTAGGCGTCTGCCTTCGGCTCAGGTCATGATCCCAGGGTCCTGGGATCGAGCCCCACATCAGGCTCCCTGCTCCACGGGAAGCCTGCTTCTCCCTCTCCCACTCCCCTGCTTGTGTCCCTGCTCTCGCTGTCTCTGTCTCTGTCAAATGAATAAATAAAATCTTTAAAAAAGAAAAAAAAAAAAAGAAACTCCCCAAGTGGTTCCAACAGCAACCAGGGTTAAGAACCGGTGATCTGGTCTAATTCCCTATTTTTCATCCAAGACAGCATCTTCTCTTTGCTTCTCCATCAATTTGAAGGCAACTCTCCACACTCCTTCAGAACCCTGCGTCTGTGTCTCGAAGGCATAAGGGAAATGGATGATTACTATCTTCATGGGCTTTCACCAGGCCCTTTCCTACCAGGAAGATTACTATCACTTCGGGCTGCTATCTTACTGTTACTGCTTAGGGAAAAAGGATGGAAAAGAGGAACGATAACTCTGCCTCATATAGTTTTTTTCTGGATGGAATTCAATCAATATATTGACCAGTCTAACCCCTCCCCAGTTGTTTTTACCTCGACTTGGGCCATCCCCCTTCACTGCTCTGGGTGGCACCCACTAGAATTGGATGTCTTCTTTGTTTTCAGGTCTTCTGTTTCTCTCAGATCTGACATCAGGAGGCCGGTACATTCCATTACTATCAGCAAGAACAAAAAACTCAGAGGCACACTCTGAGCTTGTTTTGCAAGGCCGGGCCTCCTCGCCGTCAGAAAAGCCCCAGGAAACACACACACACGTAAATGTACATAAACAATGTTTGAAACTTATCTGAAGCTCAGTCCCAGAGGTTGTGAAATCCTCTCCTAGAGCCCCAGCCCCTGGCTGCTGTCTGTGCAGCTGTTTTCAATAAGGGAGCGAAGCGGGTCACATGGGCATCGAGTCACCCTACTGTGGCCGAGGCCAGAGAGAGCCGGGCAGGTTAGCTCAGAGCGCAGAGAGCGTGCTCAGCCCAGTCCTTCGAAGGCAGATGAGCCGCCTGTAACGAAAGCAACTCAGAGAATGTGTCTGGGCTCTGCCTCTTTCTCTCTGTTCCCCACTGTCCACATTCCCTGTATTACGTCTTTCTTCTTCCCTCTTTAACTGGGTTGCCTTCCCTCAAACATTCTTTGATCAAACATCTATTACGCTCCCGCTAAGAACCCATCACGGGGCCGGGCACTAGGGATACCGATTAGAATAGGACTGAATTTTGGCTTCACGGAATTGAGTGTAGGACTTGGAAGAGAAGAGAGGGTCAGGCACTGTACTGACCGCAGATGGTTATGGAAGCACAAACCCATTCACAGTCATTTGGGGAATGACGATGATCTCTATTTACAGAGCAGCAACTGAGGCTTAGTGTAGGTTATTAAGTTTGCCAAGGGTACGCTGCTGGTAATGTTACAGGATTTTTATTCCCCAAGTGCCCATGGTTCTTGGTCATGCCACTTCAAAGAATGAAGAAGTAGACCAGAGGAAGAGTGGTGGGCAGCAAAGCACATTTATCGAGTGATAGTGCAAAGCTCCCGGAGAGGGAGGGGACCCAAAAGGGTTGCCGTTTTGGTGTTCAAATCTGGGGGTTTTTTTGTAAGCTTTTTTACAGAACTATCTTGAGCAAGCTGAGCAGGGGCCCCCTGTGGATTGGCTGCTAAGGTGTGCCAATCAGGGCTTTGATCATGCACCTGCCTACCTACTGGGTTATTGTTCACGTGTTGATGGTCTTTTGGGCTGACATGTGGAGATGAACTGCCTCAACCTGTGATAGTGACCGATGTTTTATGATTAATTGTTCTGTCTCAGGATGTCTTGCAGAAGTCAGTTCCGCAGAAGCTGCCAGACAGGATGCTCTTGTGGTCTTGTCTAAGCTGTAAAACAGGATGCTAGTACGGTTTCATCTTAGCATCCTGGCCCCCTGTTATCTTGTTGGGGGCCCTGGCCCTCACTACCCAAGTGTCCAGCTAACTCCCAACAGCAAGGGGCAGATCGGGGCCTTGAATCCAGGACTATCAGATACTAAGGACTCTTCAAGTCCTTCATGCATTCAGCAAACATTTGTCGAGCATCTTCTGTGAGATGAGCTGTGTTTGTGCTCGCTGCTGCTCCTGATTAATAAGCAGTGTCCTCATCCTTGAAGAGCAGGGACAAACAGGCAAGTGTCCAAACATCGCCCGTGTGAAAGGCTGTGTGAGGGAGCAGAGTCCATGAGGTGTGGGGGACACACCCAGAAGGGGCATTTCACCAGGCAGGAGTAGAAACCAGCTTCTAGGAGTGACATTTAAGCTGAGAGCAGAAGGAGAGTTGAGAAGGGAGGACATCCCAGAGAGAAGGAAGCTGGAGCAAGGACCGCAGGGTGGGCCTCCAGCTCCTTCCAGGAGACACAAGGAGTGGGGTACGGTGGAGGACAGAATGTGAGGCGGTGAGAGGAGACCCCGAGGGGTGTTGGTCGAGGCAGCCCACTCCGAGGGCAGTGGAGAGTCACAGCAAGTGTTTTAAGCAGGGGCGTGATCCGATTTGTGCTTTAGAGCAAGCAGTCCCTCCGGCTGCCGCGCAGAGGTGGTGGCGGCGAGAGCGGCCGAGCAGAAGCAGTGGTGGGCCAGGGGCAGAGTCCGGGTCCCAGAGGTGCTGACGAAACACAGCGACTGGACTTGGTAACTGACTGGGTGTGGAGGCTGAGGGGCCTCCAGAGTCTGGCGCGAGCTGGCAGTGACACCGCCAGGACGAGAGCAGGAAGAGGAGAGCTCTGCAAGGGAAGATGAGGGCTGAGCCTCGGAACCTGGCACGCTGGAGGCGCTGGGGGGCGTCCGGGCGCAGCCGGCCAGGCGCGGGCCGGGGAGGTGCTCCCTCTCGGGGGCGTGCGCGTGCAGGCCCGGCACCTGCGGGGTCCTGAGAGGGAGCGCCTCCTTAGAGCCTGTGCCCGAGATGCCCCGCCAGCCGCGTGCCAGTCCCGGCCTGGGTCTGAGGCAGCTCTGCTTAGTGAGAGTTCTGAGCTGGAGGCAAAGACTGGGGGGTCGTCAGCATGGCAGTTTGTGCCTCATGTGAGTAGATGAGGTACCAGGGAGGCTGTGTAGACAGAGAAGAGAAATAGGTTAAGTAGGGAACCCCGAGGGTCGTGTCCTTCAAGTTGTGGTGGGGAAAGAAAAAGGGAGCAAGAAGGAAATTAAGAAAGACCAGCCAGAGAAAGAAAAGGTGCAACAGGAGAGCCTGGGGTCATGGAAACGGGGAGAGGAAGACACATCACTGAGGAGCGTGGAGTCGACAATGTCAAGTGGTAGAAAATTTGGATGCACGTTGGCACCAGCCGTCTAATTAGATTAGCACTGAGAAGGTTATGGTGACCTTGGTGACCTTGGTGACCTAGGTTGATAGGAATGATGGGGGCAGGAGGGAAGCTTCGTGGAAGATGGGAGGGGAGAGCCGGAGCAGTGGCTGTGGGAGCACTGGAGTCAAAACCGTGTGGGCTAGTGGTGGCCCCCATCATTTGAAAAGAGAAAGCAACTAATTTCCTCCCAAGCACTGCTTTCGATATACTTTGGAAAATATTGCTCAGTCCAGTGGCTTCTCCCAGTGTGATCATCCTCTGCGACATTCTTGTCACCATTTCTCGCACTCACCAAAAATGTGTTTGCTTAGTTAATAGAGTTTTTGCCCTTATCTATAATTTCTTATCTTTTCTTTATTCAGTTGTGATCATACTGTATGTGATTTAGTATTGAATTCTTTCATTTAATTTAATCATTTAAGCAGAAGGGGAGAACAATTTTTTAAATCGCTTTGGTTCCTAGGCAATTAAGATAATTAAAAATCGCTGTTTTATGTGTGCTGATAAGACATTCCTTCCCAGCATATTGGCAAATTTTAAAGCAGATGCGTGTCTGTGTAAAGAAATAAACGTTCCCGGGTGCCTGGGTGGCTCAGATGGTTAAGCATCCGCCTTCAGCTCAGGTCATGATCCCGGGGTCCTGGGATCGAGTCCCGCATCGGGCTCCCTGCTCAGCAGGGAGTCTGCCTCTCCCTCTGCCTCTGTCTCTCCACTGACTGGGCCAGCCAGGCGCCGCGATCCTGCGGTTCCTACCAGTCATTTCCCTTCAAAGAGAAGCCTTTTGCATTTGAAACTCCTGACTTCAGTTTTCCTCTGAAGTTGTTTCATTGTGTCTCTAGTAAACTCCTCTGTTCTGACAACACTGATTGTTGAAAATAAAATGAACAGAGCAAACCCAAGAGCTGGAAATGTCCACCCCATTCGCTAAGCATGATCCTCGTCAGCAAACGGCTGCTGGGGCACCATGCCTCTGTGGAAAAGGCAGACAAGCATAAGACGTGGTCTTGACATCAGAGCATGGACAGACTGGTTCAGGAGATGGAACAGATGGCCGTCAAGGTCACTCTCTGGGCAGAGAGAGCTGAAGGGACTGAGAGCAACAGAGAAAGGGCCATCACTGGCAGCCTGAGGGGACAGGAGGCCTCCTCGGGGACAGGTAGGACTTGTCCTGGGCGGTGGAGGCAAGTTGGGACTTCGTCAAGCAGCCAGGGTGTGGAAGGCTGAGGTAGCAGGTGTCCAAAACCAGGATGCAGCCCATTAAGTGCCTGTGGCCAACAACAATGAGAACACATCCCAGGCTGGAGAGGAGGGAGTATGCGGCCCCCCACCCTCCCGCCCAAGGCTGCAAGGTGCACATGAATGAGATTTCACCACCTTGATGGTCAGACTAAAAAGTACGGACCTAATTCTATAACCATTGCGAGCCAATCTTCATCTGGGATAAATGTTACGGTGCCAAAGTATATTGTATTTTAAGGAATTTTATGTCATACAAGTTTGACTAGATATTAATAGCGTTTTTAATTTATATGTACAATTGGGCCACAGATGTCTTGTATTAGAGAGCAGCCAGATGACAGTTGTCGTACCAAAGCTCAGAACAATGGGTCTAATATGTTGGGAACCAGTTAATAGGCTGTTGCACTGACCCATGCGTGGATCAGGAGGCTTGAATTTAAATGGTGACACAGGGAAGGGGAAGACAGAGATGGCTCTATCTGAAACTGGCTGCAGCATTGTGTGGAGAAAGAGATCAAGGGTTTTAGCATCGACAGACCCAAGTTAAATCCCAGTGCTACCTTGTGGCTTCATTTAAGTTTCTCAGCCTTCCCTTTCCTCGTGCACAAGTGATCTAATAATCCCTACTTGTCAGGATTCCATAAAATGACAAATGTGAATAATTCAAGTACATGGGAGTTCATTTTCTTCCCTTCCTTCCCCCAGAAATTTGCAATCGGTTTCAGGGAAGTTTGTTACATCTCAGCAAGAATAAAAACCTCTCCAAATTAGTCTCCTATGTTTAAATTAGGATTGACCAGGGGTGCTGGGATGGCTCAGTCATTAAGCGTCTGCCTTTGACTCAGGTCATGGTCCCAGGGTCCTGGGATCGAGCCCCGCATTGGGCTCCCTGCTCTGCAGGAAGTCTGCTTCTCCCTCTCCCACTCCCCCTGCTTGTGTTCCCTCTCTCCCTGTGTCTCTCTCTGTCAAAAAATAAATTAAAAATCTTAAAAAAAAAACAAATAAATAAATAAACAAATTAGCACTGACTAAAGAGAACCAAGTAATCTACAAATCGAAGTCTTTTTGTGAAGGTCAATCTTTTCTTGCCCAATAAACAGTAATTTTATATAGGCTTTTTACATTGAGGATCTTCAAAATTTCATCCATATCTAACACCAG